TACATTCTTAAAAGGTTCTGGAGATTCTTTACGAAGTTCAAGAATGTAAGTAGCTCTCTTCTCTCCAATTCCCTGAATAAAGATGTACATTTAGGACTTATGACAATAGGAAATAACCCTGAGATTGTTAGTTATGTGATCCTCACCTTTAATCTTTTCAAGTCTTCTCTGTTAGTAGGAAAAAGAGGGGAAAAAAAAAGGAAGATTAGCCCATCAATAGTACATAATGAAATTGGAGATGAGAGACATGATGATTATTGTGAGATCAAGATTACAATAAAGGGAAAAATAAATAAATGCTACAGATGCAAAGATAAAAGAAAGAGCTTTACCTCAATTGCCACATTCTAATACTCATGCATTTGCCTAGTTATTTATTCACTTAGAATTACATTTTTCAATATGGTGCATTAAAAAGGTCCCATCTTTCTATTTTCTCTTGTGAAAGGAACAGAGTTTAAATTAGTCTGAACCATTAATGCACCAACAAAGTTATTTTAAAAATTTCCTTCAAATGGAATGTCAAAAATTACTAGTTACTAGAAAACATACTCTCGTTGGAATTACAGGATATAGAAGAATTAGAACTTTGTGTAATACATATACTTACTTGCTAGCTGTATTTAAGAATCTGATATATTCATCAACAAGAGAGTTCTGAAGTAGGGAAAAAAATGATTAATTAAGCAGTCAAGTAATTAAATACAGAGGGAGATTTTAGTATGGTAGATTAGAATCAACCTTCATTCTGGAACTATATGCACTTAGTGCTTTCCAAGGGCTGCAATTGGTATTTGCAATTTCCCATTTATCATTCACTGGCAAACTGGGTTCAGGAGTTTTTGGCTCCAAAATTTCAGTAGAGACTTGACCATATAATGAAACATCAGTCTTTGATGGTATCTCTACACACGACGGAGTTGAGGAAACAAGCAATTTCAAATTATTAGACAACTCCTGTAATCGTGCACTAATTGGTGGTGATTCATTCTCATTGACAAGTAAAAAGTTGTTCTCCTTATCCATGGCTTGATCTGCAAAAAAAAATGGAATAGTTCATGTATAATTACATGTCATATCTTGTCCACTAAATCAGCTTTTCAATTTGACATGCCAAGTACCTGCTCCAACAAAAGAAAGTGCTTTTACATTGCTGTCAATATTTGGAGTAGCTTCGTCGTGATTATGCTTGTTAGCCACAACAACCTTAAAAATCAAATAGCAACTTCAATAGATAATTGAGCTCCTCAAGCATTTAATGACAAAGAGAAGGTAAATCACCTTATCTGGCAGTTTGGTTTCTTGTGTGTTAGAAGCTTTAACTGGCACGTCAGTCTCTTCTGCACTGACAGCTTCTAATGGGGAAGGTTCCTGAAAGAGGGAAAAATGAAACCATTAAACATGAAAAAAAAATTCAATAGCATTGCTATTGAAATACGCCAGAGGTTGCTGAGTACTGTACAATCATTATACTGACTTCTGCCGTACTGAAACAGATTCTATATTCTTTGGAGTAATCAATGAATGGTGTACAAGAAATAAAATTTGAACTTTGTCACACATTTGTTGAATACTATTAAAAGGGAGAGCTTTAAAAAAAGAGTTTACCTCCACAGGAGGTACTAGTGCTTCTAAAATGCCTGAAGAGTACTTTTCCTGCATAAATGATAACTTCCAAATTACGAAAAATTTCAGTAACTGATTTACAGTCTTAGATGCACATGCATCATTCACCAGAAAGAGTAGTACAATACCACCCTGTACAAGAAAAAAAAAAGAGAATAGTACAATACCACAAGAAGTTTTACAAAAATGTTACCTCTTCCTGTATGTTATGTTCAATGGCTGAGACAATGTCTAATGACAAGTTTTCCTGCATTGAAATGTAGGAGGCTTACTATAGGATGAAAATTCTAATCATCATATTCAATATATTATTTACTTTAACTATTATGCAAATAGTAAAACATTGCATTTATGAGTGCAAAAAAGAGATTGGAAGAATTGATCAGATTCTTTCTATCTTTTTACAAAATCAGAATGCTTTACGCTTTTTTCCTGAGCAAATAGAAAACCAAGTACCTCCTGAGATGCCTTCTTCGATTTGGTTGAATGACATGCTTCATCAAAAAGTTTCCTTCAAGATTTAAAAAAATATGGAAGATTTAAATTACCATATTCAAAGAGCAACAACAATGATGAAAATCTTATGTAGCTTGATGCAAATAGCAGCCATCACTAAGTACCTTCCTTTGATTGCCGAAGCCTTAACATTGGCCTTGTTTTCTGGAAATCGCACTCGTGTGCCAATCTGTTTTGTCACAGTGGCAGAATGGCTCCCAGGTATACGGCTTTTGTATGAAGAAAGCACCATTGGTCTTACCATACTTTTGGTTTTCTTTGTGGAGTCGGGGATAACCCTGTTGATGCCTTTACAAGAACGAGAAGCCAAACTTGCCATGTACAAGGAATCTTGGCAAAAGGATGAATTCTACACTCAAAAAAAGTTAAATCAACTCCAAGTCGAAATCAAGCTTTGGAAAATAAACAAAAATTCAAGTCAAAAATATGAAACCAAAAACCTTACCAAGCAAGCGACCATCAGAATCTTGTTTGTCCCTCCCAAGGAGTCCCGCAACATTCGAGTTAGCTTACTTTCACGGTAGGGTACATGGCTTTCATTGGCATTTAAAGCATAAACGACATTCTGTAAGGCATATATGGACTTATTAATTTTATTATTCTCCAGGAGATTAACACCATCAGTGCTTTTCCTTCTAGCATCCTCATAACCTGGTAAATGCAATTGTAAAACCAACCAAGGAGTAAAAAAGGGATATTATCAAGCCATAACAGGAAAATACCATCCAAAACAATTGAGTGTAACTAAAATCAAAACCTGCCAAATCAACAAAGTTCATCTTCCCAAGAGGAAGAGCATCCGACTTATTGCTATGAAATACATGAATGATTAAGCCTTTGTGGCTTCTATGATGAGGTTCCGCCAATATCTTCTGAGGTTGTTTCTGTGAATTATGACCGGAAAGATACAGTTTCTGAAATTCTTGAATAGACTTCACAGGAACCTGGAAAAAGAAAAATGAATCAATCAATGAAACAAGAGGTCAGCTAAACACACTAGAACCTTGTTTTTTAGAAAAACATACTATACTATAACTTGCCTGAGAAAGTCCTTTGAGTTGAATTTTGCCGCGAGCAATATCCTCCCATACCAAAACTTCATGCCTTTCTGGATCTAAAAGATCAAAAGCATGGTCTTTCGAAATCTCATAACAAGAAATGGTAATTAACTTGCCAGTTTTCTCTGCCATAGAGAGGATTTCAGTCATGGCTAGAACCGCTAAACCCGGTTCCTCTTCCGAGCCCTTCAAACAATCAAAATTGCTTCTCTTGATAATTACATTCTCGAAAATGAAGAACATAAACTATTCAAAGTAATAATGTCAAAAGAAAAGAAAAGATTTAACAGACCTGAATTACATAAGTCTTGCCGCTGCCTCTTGCTCCATAAGCAATGACAGTGGCATTATGACCCTTAAAAACATCTTCAATCAGTGGCTTTACTTCTCTTGAAAAAACCAAAGCATTTCCCTCGTTTCGGTCATAGCAATAATCCAATTCATATGACTCTTTACGACTGCAAAGTATTTTTCAAGAAAAGAAAGGTAACTAAGCTTTCTTTTCTTGCTTTCATAAATCAAGAACGCTAAATTAAAAATAATTTTATTATTTCTTACCTTGTTGATTGGTCTCCAAAATAGACGGTGACGGACTCAGAGTCATCTCCCTTAGGCTTGTGAACTGAAATCCACTTCCCGGAAGCTTCGTCGACGGACTCCGTTTTCAGATCTGTAAACCCTTTGATTTTCGCTATCACTCGAGCCTTTCGACCCTGGATCGGCCCCATAAGAGAAGATCTTATTACTCGCTGATTTTTTTTTTCTTTTCCGAATTTAAATTTGGAATTCAATAGCTGAACTTTCGAGATGAATTTTGCACTGAGTGATAAAGATTTGATTGAATTATTGAAAAATATAGGCTTAAGGAGACGGAGTAGCCGTTAGGTTTGGTTTGGTTTTCAAATTTGGTTGTTCTGGCGCTCTTCTCTGGCTCCTCCTTATATGGCAATTTTATCATCACTCAGCTTTTCTCGTACGCTTTCTTTCTTGTTTAAACGATGCGTTTTATCCTACTTTAACGGAGTCAGGCAGACGTTGTCGTTTAGTGGCTGAAAATAGGAGAAAAGTAAAAGGGCTGTCGTTTCCCCTTATTTTGTTTTTTTTCCCGTTTCTTTTCTTCTCTTTTCGTCTCCACAGCTTTCTTAACGTCCAAACAAGGGCTTTTGAGAAGATGGATGAGAAGATGGAGATTAACGGGGTGAAGAAGATACAGTCGCCATGCGACGTTGAGGCTTTGAAGAAGTGTTTGGAAGAAAACAAAGGGAACTACGTGAAATGTCAATCCCAGATTGAAGCATTCAAGTCCTCTTGTTCTTTGAAGAAACCAGATCCTTCTGTGGATTCTGCAAATAGCACCCGACGGATTTGATTTCTGATCTGATGAGAAGGAAATCCGTTAATTTTGAATGTAACCCACTTCCATACTTGCTTTCTACTGGTTTTTTTTTTAAGCTTTTTTGTTGGTCCCTTGAGTTGAGCTGTAGTTTTGCTTTATAATTTAAAAAAATTTTGGAACTGCCTAAGAATCGAATTTGGGTACCGTCTGCCAAACTGATGAAATTATAAGGAAATTAAAAGGCTGCGTCGGATTTGATTACTGGTTATGATGCTTAATCTGTTCTTTCGTTGTTTGCTTGTTTGTTTTCAAATTTTCTTTTGTAGTGCTGCTAGTGTGCAGATGAAGCCTACAATGATTTGGGCTTAAGTTTGTAGACATAGCATTTTAACATGGGAACCTTTGGATTTCTAGATGAAGAAGAGGCATGTGGAAAATGATTCTAGTCAAGCATATTATGACTCTTTAGGAAACTGTTTTTAACCATAAATTGCCAATTATACCAGTCAATGGGACTAAAAACACTATTTCAAGACAAACAAGTTCCCTAGAATTGATCAACTATCTCTGTTGAAGCAATTGAGAATGACTGGGGGGCCGTGTACGAGGAATTACCGAGAAAAACTACATAAACCGGTAATTATTAGAATAATAGAATCAAATCACATACAGGTTCCTCATCAGCAACCGTTACAACTCTTCCTACATGTACCGTAGTAATCAGGAGAACCAACCATGAAAACAGGATTCCTCTGGCATTCCCCGAGAGCAGCCCATTGAGGACAATTGGCATCTTCATCAACGCAATCATTTCCATCAGAGTCAAATGAGACTTTATCCCCTTTAACAGCCCTTAGGTAGAAGAGTTTGGTGGCAAACCACATTTCTCCTTCGAGAACAGGGCATCTGGCATGTGAGCTGCTACCATCAGGAGATGCATTGAGGCGAGTAGTGAAAAACAAAATCGCATTTCCCTTAACGGGTTTAAGGATATTGCTGGACTTTGCACAATCTGACCATATCTTGCTCCTTGGCTGAATGAGCAGGAAATCCGTTTATTGAGTAAAGATAAATTTGAGCCGATTTAGGCAAAGTTTAGAGGAGGGTTAAGATAGTTTCTCTCTCACCTCTGCATGGGGGAAAAGAATCTCACCACCCCTAGTAACATTTGAAAGATACAAAATCACAGTTGCCATCAAAGGCTCGCTTAAAGCCAGTGTGGAAATATTGCCAAAATAATCCAAGTTTTGTTCAGTCCCCTCAAGTCCATGGCGCCTAACCTGTAGAGGCTTACCATTATCTGAAGAAAAATGAACATCAAGTTATACTGAAATGAGAAAAAGGTCCTTTTAAGAGAAAAGACTATCAGGAAGATGAGGAACGGAGATGGTTGAGGATACCTCTGGGAAGGAAAGTCCAAGCTGAAATTCTTTCCTCAATCATTGCAAGAACTTTATCCTAGAATGCACAAATAGATATAAGAAAGTTATATCACTGTACCTGCCATTCCATATCCAAATGAAGATGAACATAGAGAGATTTAATAGCATGGGTTCTAGCTGGAAACTAAAGATAATTGGTAGAGGCTTTACGTTGAGTTCTCTTTCTAGCTTTTCGGGTACCTATATGTGTGGTGTATACGGCAGCACACAGTACAAAAAGAGGAGGATATTAATTATTACATATTCACAGACACCAAAAGTCAGTAGATTGAGGACAGATTTCCGAGCAAAAGCCAGAAGGAGAATGAATTAGCAAGATTGGCTGGATAATGGCTTAAACACTATTGAAGAGATACTTAGTAAACTACCTTCCCTCTGCCAGAGTGTCAACTTCACGAGAGAGAAAAACAAATGTCAAGCATGAAATCAAGTTCTTGAGTATGCAACAATTTATTATTAAACAATTACTTCAATAGGTTGCCAACAAGAGATGCATAGAGTATGTAGATATTGTTAGCTTATAAAACAACAGAACTCACTTCTCTGTTCAGCAAAAGTTCAGAACTTGTGAGCTGCCTGTTTGTCCCAACATTAACTCGATCATCATTGATCCCTAAAATTCCTTCTTTCGCTTCATGACCCTAAGTCCAGAACAAGTATTTAAAACCAATCTAGGCATATTGAATTGAAGTAGTGAAAACAGTGGGGCAGAAACGTACCAAAGAAATAAGGTGGTCGCACTCCTCATCTGATAGAAAGCCATTATACAGAAAGACCCTATTGGAAGTAAAATAGTGTCAGACTTTTAATAAAAAACCGAAAATGTGCAAATGAAAGCACAAAGTCCGGCAGGCATATTAGCATAAATTGAGAATCTTATAAAGTTCATGCAAAACTGTAATGCAATGCCATTGAAGAATAGCCTCTCTATAGGGAAAAGAAATTTTCTGTAAACACGGAATTGTTTTGTCTCAATGAGATGGCATGAGCAGGCAAACAAGAAATCCATCAATACCTGACCTTGGCTGCCATAAAAGTTGCATTACTCGTGATGGGTCAATCGTGTTTGATTGAGCTGAAAGCCTTGATTGTATAACAGTTTCCTCGTTAACCTCCATATCTCTCAACTCCTTCCGGCTACTCATGCAAAATAATACCAAAAGAAAAATGTTATAAACGAAGAAGTTATCATAAAGAAGACGGTACTTCCAACGGCTGAAGAGACTAGACATTTCCTTAGCAACATAGCAGATGAGATCATGAAGATAAATCATTATCCAGATATTCAGAATATATAGAAGCAATGTTACTTTATATTGAAATAAAATGCTCCATGAAACCTAATGACACAAAAATTTGTTTTTTACTTTCATTTTGGAATGCTAATCACTCAACAAAATTGCACTACCATCTGAAACAGTCATATCCACACAATTAATTCAAGAGTTATCCAGGATAACTTCCACAATACAATCACGTATGCATGACTATACAAGATAGATACCAAAAACCCAGACGAAGAACACCATGTAATTCATCAATCCTGAATGGGAAATGGATTGATTGCCTCATTCAGAATTAAGACAAACATTTTAATATGGATAAATTTTTCCAGTACCCATTTTCAAAATAAACAAGTATAATTTAAAAAAAATAAAATGAGATCGGGTTTCCTTGACCTTTCAGCAGAGAAGTTGGAGAAAGGGCAGGCAAAAAGCAGAAGAAGAAAAATTGAATGAAGTAAAGCCATGAATGGATGCAACAGCGACAGCGATTGGTAGAGACCAACAGGAAATTGAAGCTCAATTCAAATCCAAAGGGATTTCCCAGGAAAGCAGAAAGGAGAACCTCCCATGCGACTTTGGAGCTCTGTTTTAGCTTCGTTTTAACACGTCGATTCTGAGTTTACTAGTACCTTTGCGGTGGGAAGTACCATCCACCCATGACAGGGCAAGACGGCTCAACTTATAATAGTCTTTTTATAATTTCTTTCAAGTGTTTGACGGCACTTCCTAGGAGTATATTCTATATAAAAAAATTAAATTGCTTTTGGTAATAAACAAAAATTTTACTTTTCATGGTTCATACCCCCAGTATACAGTAGTACATTATTTTTATTTGTAGTTTTAAAAAAATAAAACTAAGGCCAGATTATTAAGAAATGTTGTGGTTGTGATTAGATGATAGTAATTATGACTGGCAAAAACAAAAATGCGTTAGTCGGTGGCTAGTGGCCCTCTCCCATTCAAGTTTGAGTATTCCTTAAATAAGGCATCGCCAACATGATAGTTTTTCTTCCTGCCATTGATTTTGGTCACTTAATCAGTCCCCATTTTGTTTGGTCAATTCAATGCAAAGAACCAACTTCTGCAGTTCAATGTCTAACAAATGGTCGCAATGGCCAATGAGTGTCCATGTTACACAGATTGTGGTGTTGGTTGTTTTCCCCCCATCTAGGTTCATTTTCTAACCGACATGTGTTTAGCTTTCAGGATTTCAAGAATGGCAAGTGAAAATTGTTACTGGGTGAAAAATTGAGTCCCAATGAATCAATGAATGTTGTTCATCACAAACATAATCGTTTCTGTACTATCCAATTTATCCCTGAATTTACATCATCAATCATCCCTATGTGATTTTTTAAGCACCATGTGCCCAGATTCATCTTTGTCAAAAAGACGTTCAATCAATTCATTCCAGCTTTCTTTGTTCTTGCTTTTCCCCGATGATCCAACCGACGATTCTCCGCTAGATTTATGGGAGTTCTCCCCATCCTCGGACTCATCAAAAGTTCCATATTGAGAAGGTGCATAAGCATCGGGAACTGACAGTGTAACAGCCCTTTGGAGCGCAGCTTTGTACTCTTGACTGTGTTCTCTAGCCAAGGTCTGCTGCCGTTCCATTCTCTGTTTTGCGGGGATCTCCATGATCCTATCTTTCTCCAGCATTAACTAAAGCAAAGTGGCAAAACAAAGATGAGGAGGTTTAATTTCAAAAAATAGTTTTGAGAACAAATTGCACAGAAACCAATCAGCAGAAAGAGACTCGTGTAAGGCGTAGTATGAAAACTCTTGCCTAAGTCTGAACCATGTACAGTGCTATATATGAATTACATTCATCAATTAGCTCTGGCTCCATTTATTAGATCATTACCATGAAAATAAAGCAGCTTTAAACTTACATCCATGGCTCTCTGTGCTTCTCTCTCTATCCATATTATAGCATGGTCTGAAGTGGCATTACAAGAAAGAACTATGTGCTCAAACCTCCCATCCACCGGCACTGCTGTCCTCACGACAGGTGGAAATCTTCCTAATCTGCAGGAGTGATGAATAATGGATTGTCCATCAAGAGGTGAAAATATCTAATGCATTCTGGTGAATCTATTTATCATGATGCATTCCTGTGTTGTTATTTTTAATTACAAACATTAGATACAAGAGAAACACATAAGAACCGAGGCATGTAAGTATTTCTCTATTTGATAATGACCACAACACACTTTTGCATTTATGGAAAAAGGGAATTTAGACACCTGCCGAACATACAAACCTGTGCTGAGTTCCAGCCTTGCAAGGCATTCTTAATGATGACACCACCTTATTTAAGTACAAATAACCAAACTCAGTTAACCCTAAGCAAACATATAGAAGAGAGCTACACTTGTTGTGCCTCATTATACCTGAAAGGCTTTCGCTCAACAATGTGATAGAGGCGACCAGGTGCATACAGCCTCCTTGGATCTTTAAGCATCTTCTCCTCTGGTATACAAGTATCCCTCATGCATCTCAGGCATAGTAGGCATGGCAAACTGTTCAAACGAAGAAAGCAAAAATTTGTCAACAAATTACTTCAAAACTTAAGGATACTTTGATTTGTAATAAAGTGGGCTGTAACTCTCTCATTTTCCCGTTTTCTTCATGTGCCAATAACTTTTATTTATTTGGAGAAACCAGAGGATTGGGTCATACAACTAGCTTTGCAAAGGATGTTAGCAGACACCAGGAGCCTACCAGCTGTAAATGAAACAATAATTAAAATGGGTGATAAAGTCCACATATACCAGAAAAGTGACTTGAAAATGTCTTCCAAAGGTGTGGCTGTCCGTGGCAAGAAGTCATCCTAATTCAGTAGTAACCACAATTAAATACAAAAAAGAAATAACAATAATAATATAATAACCAATAGATAGAAGATTTTCAATTAATAAAAATCAAAACAAAAATGCTGCAGCACTCTTGGACAGAAATTAATCCTCCGATTCACAGATGTAAAATATCACCAACTAATATAATCTCAACCAGATGCTTCCAACATTTGGTACCACTCTCAGTGTAAAGGCAATAAGATCTTCCACTATGGACAAAGAAAACGCATTTCAAGTTTTGCAGAGCTACTCATACAATATATCAGACATATCTCCCTATATGCAAAATTCCTTTTGGTTTCTATGCCACTGTATTAGACATCGCCACATCTAAATATGTACATTAGAGTTTAGATATCCATTGGAATACAGCAAGTCCTATATTTCATTTTTGGTTCCCATCCCTTACTGGCTCTTGAACCTTGCTCCTGAAGGTAAATGTCAGGTCCCTGACCTTCAAGGACAAGAGAAGTGCCAGTTACAGCAGGTTCTATTGACAGATAAGATTTCAACATGATGAATGTGATCTTGGAGTCACTTCATAAAAAATTTTCACCTTAAAATGGAGCATTAAAACTTCTATTTCACCTTATGTTGAGATTCTGCAGAAGCTGATTCCTCCATCAGATGCTTCTTCTCTCCCATCAGTCTCATGTTCAACAAGTTATCATGCATCTTGAGATGCATTCATAATAACTGTTCTACTTCCTCTGAAATTAGACTGAACTTAATGACCACCATCGGAAGTTCTTTGCCAGAATTCCCACATTATCATAAACAAATCTCGTATAAAGCATAAACCTTCCCCACCCATCAAGCTTGTGATAAACTTTCAAGTGAATGAAGAATAAAACATTACAAGTAATAATTGATCCCACTGTGTTAAATAACTAATCTCCAACAACCATTCATACCTTTGCTCTCAATGACCACTCTTTGATCTTTCTCCAGCAATCATTCATACCTTGCTCTCAATGAACATTCTTTTATCTTACTCAGAACAAAGACACCATGTAACTCACAACTATGAGAAGTCTCATATTCCATATTTCTTAGTAAAAAACATGTAGTGCAGCATGATCTAATACTACAGGTACTGCAATGAACAATGAGAATTCAGTGGGGACTTCTATAAATGCCAGTAATATTTTAGACCAACTAATAGTAACATTCCCAACAAACAAAAAGGTCAAAAATTAAAGGAAAAAAATCAACTTGCCTGAAGAACCACAGAATTGATGACATCTGCATATCTGACAGCCAAATTTAGTGACATGCACCTTGCAGGTGCAATTGCATAGCACCTGATCCTCCTCCTGTCAATATTTCCCAGTTTATCCCGATGCTGCACAACCACCAAGGCCAACATGGCTGCAACACCTGACCCAAGAGAATGTCCTGCAAACGTCAAAGTATAATTTGGATGCTTCTCCACCAACTCCTTCAAAATTTCACACTCTGCATCCAAAACCCATCCAGCAGCCTTCAAGAGTCCATTATGAACATAGCCACCATCAAATTTCTGTTTTCCTAGCTTGTTGTCCAAAAGCACTTGATAGTCACTCTCCTTTGCCAAATTAAGGCCTCTAATGGCAAGGACTATATCAGCATGATCATGATCAAGATATAATACATATGAAGGAGCCCGTCCTTGAGTGTCTTCATAAGTTTTTCTGAGAATCAACCAATCTGGGTTGATCCCATAGCCTCCAGGGGGTTCCCAAAGGGGGTGTCGAAGATCTTCTTCATAAACAGCTAGAATATAGCGGCATAGTCGAGGGACAGGCTCAAATTCTTCGGCAGTTGCAAGGCCCCATGTTTCACTGTCATGGCCAGCAGTATGGAGGCATCTTTTCCATGCCCAGCGTGCACATGCCAGACAGTAAACACATTCAAGGAGTGGGAGGCCACATATGATTGACATTGATGCCTACCCTCTAAGTATGACAATGTAGATCATAAAACATCGATTTTGCCTGTATATGGCGTAGAAAGAAGGGAAATGGTCCACTGATGTAGGAAATACCAGACAGGAACTTAGAATATGAAACTTGATTTATGAGTTTGGGATTGGACGAAATACCAAAAGTCACATCTATTCAAGCAGCAGTGGCTGTAGAAATAGGAGAATTCAAACTATGCAATTTGAAGCGAATGAAATAAAAAATTGAAGTTTTACTATATGTTTCAGCTCCAACCAAAGGACTCCTACGAATATTCAAATTCGGCAATTGATTGACAGACAATTTACAAACCAAGGCTAGAAAACTCAGTAGACCAACTGCAAAAAATGATTAAAAGTAGGATTTTGATCCACAGAGTAGAAGATAATGAAGAGGACCCAAGAAGATTATTTCAACTGTTCCCCTAGGATGCACTATCAACTGAACATACCAAAAAAAATTAAAAAAAGGATTCCAAAGCAGACAAAACAAGAGCAAAGTCAACAAACTGGAATTGCTGGAACAGCACAAACATGAGGATCAGTGAGAAATATGCTTCCACAACATGTGAAGGGTCAAAACGCAGCACTCACCAGATATAGAAAATGATGGCTATAGAAATAATTGGAACTCCAGGTGACTCGTAAATTGATAGCTGTACCAAGAAACCGATCTGGGTCTTTCTACCATTAGGGTTTCAATGTCATGTGCTGCTGGGTGATCACAATTTTATCACTAAAATAACTAAAAAAAGAGCAACCTAAAAGAGAAAATAAGAAAGACCCAACCCAAGATACCAGAATTCTGTCTGATCATTAAAACAAAACAAAACTTTAGAGCACAAAGAAGAAGGCTTCTTAATCTACAACAAATGGGATTTCAATAACCTAGTACCATGAACTTTCATTTCCCTCATATGCTAACCTTTATTGATAGGAAAACGATTAAAAACAAGGGGTTTAATTGATGAGGAGGGATGTTCTGAGAATGGGTTAATGCTGAGTTGTAATCATTTTACAGGCACAAGTATCGGAAAAGACAAGTACCAAAATTTACAGGGCTACCTACAAGTCAAAGTCCAGTAAGAGTTGGGTGTGGGAGGAAGAGACGTTGGATTCCGATGCAGTAGGCAGTAACTGTGAAGGGAAGGCTCATCATTTGTCTGTTTTCCAACTGGCAGATGGTTAATGTGTAAATAAGTGGAGAGTTGCAGTGGTATATTGGTCCTATCGGACAAATAAATCATTTTTGTGATCCGCTCACATCTTTATGCCTCATCTTTATGAACAGTTAAGAATTCGTTTGAACAGTTGAACGGTTGTTCTCCTTTCTTAAATCCGTTCAAAAACATTTTTCAGTTTTCACCGTATCAATTTAAAAAAAAAAAAAAGAAAAAGAAAGTAATGTTCCAACATGAACTCGCCTTTGATTTCTTCTTCTTTCCAGATCTTTTCCCAAAATTTAAGACAAACTTGATCTCTACTTAACCTATTAATTAAATATAAAATACTTAATAAAAATACTAACAAATAATATTTATATGAAACATTCGAATATTTAATTTATTAATTAATATATAAATTTTATTTAAATAATAAAATTTAAATTTATTTAATTAAAAAAATAATACTTTTTTATTTAAACAACACTCGAATTGCATCACAACGTACAGGGTTTGACAAGTCTTGGCGATTGTTACCTAACCTCATTTTATATTTTTATCTTACTATATATTTTCATATTTTTTTAGTTATTTGGTTGGTGGAAGTAGATATAACTATATGATATATGAGTTTTGCTATTTTATCCTATAATTCAACAATCTGGCTATTTATGAAAAAAAAACCATGACTATAAATTCACAAAGATTTATTTTTTTAAATAGTGTAGATATTTAATTGTGAATATTAATACGTAAATTTACAATAAATAATAAATGTAACTCAAAACAAGTAGAATAGTTACATCACCGCATGAAATAATGAAAGTAATTTAAAAACAAGTGACAATATTGTTAAATTAATTTCAATTATGGGAAGTTTTAAAAATTTGGCTTAATGATTTAAGATATAAAGATAGTTAAATATTAATTTTATTAATTATTACTTAAAATACAAGTAATTTTCTTAAAAAACAAAGTCACTTAAGTGTCACAAAACCCATTATGGCATAGTAGCATGAATATCTGAAAAATCCACTACCCTACTAGATAACTGAATAATGTTTTCTTCTGTTGTGTGCATATTGTTGTTGAGTAACCATGTTTCTTTGCGATTTATATATAGAATTTAGATAATTTATCAAATGATTTAGAAACTCAGCAGACTCTCTAAGTTTTTTCTAAATATTATCTCTTACTAAGCTCTTTCCACCTTGTTCTAGCTTCATTTACTTTACATATTTTCTAAAATTTATCTATCACATCCATCACATTATTTAATATTTCAAAGATTGTTCTAATCTTTCTTGCTTTTCGTCTCTTTTAACACATCTCGTTATACTTGTTTACAATGTTATCATTCTCTATATTATTAAAGAAACTTATCTACGAGTGTTAAGTACAGACACTCCAACTTTTATAATTTCAAAATATAAATATTAAAATACACACATATATTATTGGATCAAATGTATGCATTTTAGCATAACCTTTTCTCATAGTTCTATATATAATATAACATAGTCATCTAAAATTTATTAATTTTTTTATAAATTAAAAAATCTAAAAATTTTAAATTAAAAATTTAATATTATAATAAATGATATTTTCATCTTTTTTATCATTAATTTTTTCATTATTTCAAAATTACTTTTACCAATCAAACATCCAAACAAATTATAATAACAATTTTTATATTATTTTATTTCATAAAATCAAACTATATAATAATTATTTTATTATATTCATATATTATTTTATTTTTATAAAACAATTATTTCATAATAACTATCTTATTTTATTTTATGAACCAAATATGCTGCATTGATTATTTATACATGTTTTAGGGTCAGACAGGGTGCAATTAACAAGTTCTTCCCCAAATGTTTTGCTTTGTGTGGGCTAGGCCCGAGTATCAAGAGCTAGAATATAAAAGATTTTGGACAGAATGGGTCACAAGTTGAGCCTCATTGGGCTTTCTGACTGAACTGGCTTACCGGGTGCGGGTTGCAAAATTGCAGGCTGCCGCTGGCTGGCTATAAAAGGAATCAGAAACCTAAAACCCTAATTTCTTTCTGTACTCCGCCTCAGTTCTCCATCTCAACAGGTATTTCTCCTTCTTTCACTTTTTCTTGATCTCTGCAGAATAGTTTCGTTATTTGATTGCTTAGGAAGCGAAGTTCCGAACAGAAAAACAGAAACTCTTCTGTCCGATTGCTTTGGTTCTTGGTAAAATGAAAGACTAAGCTCAACTATTGATTTGCTTTAGCTGGTTTCATCGAGTGAAGAGGATTTAAGATGTGTTTATTAACTGCTCTGTTTTGATTGGTGGGTTTTTATGATGATAATGATTTTGTCTGTTCAGAGTTTATTTTTGTCATAAGCTTGGATTTTTTATATGCTACTCTTTATATTTTTTTAATTCCGTTTTGGAAGTTTATGCGTTAGGTTTTAAAGCCCTTTTTCATTTCACTCGAAGTAAAATTCTTCATATTATATAGTTATTGATCGTGGTCTTTAGACATTTTGAATATGCATCTAGCTTTTGTTTTGGATTAACTGTTGATGATAATATATCTTGTGAAATTTAAGGGTTTATGGAGAACCAAAAATTAAGTGTTCCAAGTCCTAAGTTAAGATCATTTGTATTTTTCAATCCTTTTTAAAAACAGGTTTTCAATCAGAGTGGTTGTATGATCTGGATTTTAAAGATGATTTAAATGCATTTTCAATGTCGTGTTTCTCATTTTATTTATGTATGTGATTTGGTTTTACTTAAGCAGGCATGGCTACCAAGCAGCCGAATAGTGGCCTCTTTGTAGGACTGAATAAGGGCCACATTGTAACCAAGAAGGAGTTGGCTCCACGTCCCTCTAATCGGAAAGGAGTAAGTAGATGCTATACTGATTAAGCCTTATGTAGAGTAATAGGAATTGATTATAACTAATAGTCTTTTATTGAAAAAGAGAAATGGAAAACTGTATGGGGAAAAAATAGCAATACTTTTAAATTGCCATATTAGGTCTGTAGTTGTTCTTTGTAATTATCCTTTAAGAAGGACATGCTTCAGCCTGGACTTTTAGTGAACTGCATTTTCTGTTATAGCTGGTATTTTCTTGGTGGAAGGCATAGTTCTGATTTCTCTATTTTATTCAGAAAACTAGCAAAAGAGTCCATTTTGTGAAGAACTTGATCAGGGAAGTTGCTGGTTTCGCACCATATGAGAAGAGGATTACTGAACTTCTGAAAGTTGGTAAGGACAAGCGAGCACTCAAGGTAGCTAAAAGAAAGTTGGGAACCCACAAGAGGGCAAAGAAGAAGCGTGAGGAGATGTCTAGTGTTCTCCGCAAGATGAGGTAATATCTTATATCTGAGGGGAAACGGGAATTTATTGTCTAATGTTTTGAGGTGGCGTTTTTGCAATCAGAATATGGTAGTAAATCTTTTCCTTCCATGCAGGGCTCATCCTGGAGGTGGAGAAAAGAAGAAGTGAAGCTTATTTTCTTGATTTGCTCTCTATGGTGACATGCTTGGCAGTCTCATTTAGCGGTTAGAGAAGTTTGTTTAGAGCATGGTTTGTATTTTGTTTGAGACTAAAAACTATGTGCTGAAACTTGTTTTATTTGAATTAGAGATGAGAAATTGGAAGAAGTAATGTCTTTAAGTTCTCTTGTTTGTTGGAATTTTATTTATGACCATATCTACATGCAATTGGGTATTTGGTAACTGTTGCACAGATCTCCAAATTACTTGAGATGTTCTGCCCCGTAGGCAATTACAATTACTTTTGTACCTTTCTTAACCCTAAGCTGTTTAAATTTATCATTGACGATTGATCTGCAGTTTTGAGAGCTTGTTTCATTGATAAATTAGCTAGGCTAGCCCTTCAGAAATGGTGTAGAGTCCTCTCTCAGTTGCTGATTCCATGGAAGGTGAAATTTGGTACACTTAGGTGTTTTCTTTCTGTTTGGGAATTAAACTTTCGTTAACTTTCCTAATTAATTCGGTAAACAATTAATATCTTCACACTTCCCGAATTTGGAACTATAAAAAGCCTTCTATAAGCTGCCAGTTGTCGAGTTTAATGGACTGATACGATAGTAATTAAGTTGGGTGTTCTGATTTTAGGGTAAACGAAATGAATGAATTCATCTGTCAACTCATTTTATTTTTCTTTACCAAGACATTTTCAATTTAAATTTTCTTTAAAATCAATGAAAAGGCAAACGTAACACTGCTAAGAACAGAGAGCAGCGGTAAATTTCATTTAACTTATTAGTACACTTTCTTTTACACCAATTGGCCAAGGATCACAAGAACTACATCCTTCTCAGCTGCAAAATTTGTTTATTGGAGCCCAAGAACTAATATGAATTGGCCGAAGATCGCTTGAATAACATACTTCTCAGCAGCAAAATTTGTTTATTGGAGCCCAAGAACGGGGAAGAAGTAATAAAATGGGAGGACTATGTTCGGAACCTCTGAGTGAGTTTCTCAACTCCTTCCCGGCACTCTCCTACCACCCGTTTTGCACCTTCCTTAAGGGCCGAACTAAATCCGGCCGTGCTTTGCTGCAACTCTTGTACTGATCCACTCGCCTTCAAGATAGTCTTGCCTTTCAGTGCTTCTGCCTTTGCACCTGCCGTGGAGGTCCACTCCTTCAGCACCGCTATCAAATGCTGGATCCTCTTGACAATCTTATTGATGAACTCTCTCGATTTCCCTTTTACTTCACTTGCCAATACCTTGAGCTTGCCTACCAAAGTTTCAGCCCTGCTAATAGTTCCTTCAACTGCAACTTGTTTCCCAACATTTACCCACGTACTTCTTGCAATACTCTCTTCGCGGAGGTCATTGTCAACAACCACTTTGATGCCATGCCTCTCCCAGCGATCTCTAGCCTCCTCCAAGGCTTTGGCCTGTTCGCTTGCTCTCTTTGCCTCATCCTCAGCCCAAGCCCTGAATTATAGAGGTTTTGAAACATAAATAAGGAGTAATCTATTTTAAAAATCAAATGAGAATAGCACAAGAGTAAACACCCATCTCTTAGATAAATTAAGGGGGCAAGTGACTGAAAAAATAAAGACAGAAAAACAGAAGGCAATAATGAATCTCCAAAAGGATATTACCCAAAACAAGAAATGCTAAAAGTATTCATGATTTATTCTTCCACAGAAACAGATTATGATTGCAGGGGAAATATTAATTTGATCACCATAGAGAAGTAAATTCATAATAAAATCAAGCCAGGTGATGTATCTCAACTCGATAACTTTACCGACTCGATTAGTTTAGCAGTTAGCAGAGGGTAAAACTTTTGCAGTTTGAACACAGATTTTGAAGAAAACTACTTTTGCAATTTAAATGACAATACAACTCATTATACATTGAACATCATGTCTGACACATTGTTCTTAGTTCTGCCTAGGAACAAAGGTGACATTTATTGATTGAGCAGATAGGCATAACTTCATTTAAGATCTGATGAAAACAAATTCTTGTGAAATGAGCAATTGAGCATTGAACGAAGTATCATCCTTTTTATTTAGCTACAAAGGTATAAGAGAACAAACATAATTTATCTCACAATCTTTATCCTTGAATATATTTATGTGTGTGTGAAAAACATTTTGCTAGTCCTCCCTATTCAGGTGTATCAGTTTAAATGCTACCACTTAATAGTAAAGTTTATTTCCTTACCTGGCCATGGATAAGGCTTTTCTCTCCACATCCAGCTCATGCTGTAACCTGACAAACTCCTGGCTTTCACTCTCAGTTTCTTTTCGTAGTTTGCTAATCCTTTCCTTCTCATATTGTATCTCTACCTTGTTACTCATCAGGCTTTCCAACTGCTCTTCCACTTCACGCCTTAACCTTGAAAGAACTTCCATTTCTGCATCAATAGCAGCACGGTCCTTCATTAGGGCAATATTCTCTTCCTCTCTCTGAGATCTTAACCTTTCCAGTTCATGCTTTGCCTCTTCAGCCATTTTTTCCACAGCATCGATCTTTTCCCTTTCCATCAAAAGCTCTTTCTCAAAACTTGCATTGACATCTTTCTCAACTTGAGCTACTAAAGCATTATGAGCAGATACTGCATTTTCCGCCATAGATTCTGCTTCAATACGTGCAAGTTCCTCACTTACTAGGTCTGAAGCTTCACCAGTTGCAAGAGCAACAGCAGCTTGGGCTTTTGTCACAGGCTTATCTGGCTGGAACAGTCTCACACAACCTGTCAGGATAATAATAATAATGAAGGCATATCAATCAACAAAATCAAGATGAAACTTAATGAAAGTAATTACGACTGAAGATGACTTACCAAAAGCAAGTGCTATAATTCCGTGTTCTCCAGAAGACAAGTCAGCTATAAGTGCAGGCCATGCATCTGGGTTTATCTTATTAATGTCTATAAAGCCAGAAAGTTGGTAGAGGATCTATATATGACCACAAAGGTAAAATTAATACCAAATATACTCACTACTACATGCAACAAAGAAGATGAAATGAACAAATAAGCAAACTCAAACATAGGCAACCTTTCTGTCAGCTTCTGGGAGTTGTCTTTTCTCTAGGGCCATTTTCCAACTTACTAGATCCTGGCGTGATAGAGGGCTGGAGCATCAAAAATGAGAAGCCAATCAAAAAGCCAGAAGTACAGCTGCCTAGTATCCAAAAATAAAGCAATGGTAACAGAAAAAGTAAAACTGCAATGCAATTTTCATTCATTATTTAGGTTTTATTCAGGCTAAGTCAGAGAGTTACATTTTTTATGCACAAGTTCTATGAACATATTTATGAATAAATTAAAATGGAAAAGGTTAACCACAACTTTGAGAAAATAATGGGGAATCTTCATAGATATAGAAACAAACAAAAAAAAACCTACAAATCTTTAGGGAAATAAAATAATGGAAAGATTTGTATTGGTGATAACAATAATCGAGCTAAATAGGACACTTATATTGCAACTTTCAATGCATGAACAGTAATAACCTTTCAGGAAAGAAATAAAATGGGCCTAGATCATCATTAAGCAGATCTTGATTTGAGAGCTTGCTTGAGATAAGTCCAGCCTCTGCCAAGCCTGAAATATCCAATTCCATTAGCCACAATGATTATAACAAAAACGAAAGTAACTCCACCAATATTACAGCCAAGGATATGGTATCCTATTCTCACCTTGAATGGATGAAAAATCAGGATCGTCAGGCCTGATGTCATCAAATGCCAGTTCAGTAACATTCTCAATATACATAGCAGGATAAACTTTTGATGCTGTATTCCTGGCAAGCAGCAAAAAGGCATTACTAGTAGGTACAAACTTTCCTATTTTACATTGCTATTAGATGCTAATTTCCCAGATACCAACATACTGCCATACATAGGAGTAATATGAAAGACACTTGTACCTCGAAAGAGCACTGCTTGCAGACACTAACCACCGAGCATACTCGCGACGTGTACATAGATCGCTAGGTTGAACATCAGCCTCAATAACCTGGAAAACATTCAGATATATGAGAAATAGGTTGCCAGTCCGCATATCATCTGCAGGGGCTTATACTGTCATTGTTCACCATATTAGAGAGAACGGGATACCTTCAAAACTTGAAGGGCTGCAAGTGCCTGCCCCTGAACCTGATCAACAACTGCAGGAACCAGAACCTTCCCTGGATGCACCTGTAGAGCTGCAGAAACTACAGATGGAGCAGGTATACCGGCAGGGGAGAAGGAACTCCTAGGAGTTGGAGATTCAAAAACTGGTTTGCTATCATTTATCTCATTATAATCAATTTTGCTTTGCTCATTTGTTAATGGATGAGCTGGTGCTGACACAGAGGTTGTTTCAGATGACTCACTCTCATTTAAGTTGTTCACTTCCAGAGATGAATTCTTTATTTCAGCTGAGACCTGCAACATTTTGCTAATCTCAAGGTTTTCTTCAGTTGCAGATGATTCTACAGTATCCAGATTGTCTCTGGGTACAGCCTGAGGTTCTAAAATGGGTTCTAACTCTGAACTATCTGAGGAGCTTATAATCACAGGCTCATTGGATGAATTGGAACTACAAGACAAATCCACTGAGATATCAGAGTTCTCTTTTCCTTCTGATCCAAGCTTTACCTCGTTGAGATCATTGTCTAGGTTTATTGGGTCAGACAAGTTAGGGTCAGTAGTTTCTCTATCATTAATCAACTTGTCTTCAATTTCAGAAGTTGCTTCAGGTGAACTGATATCAAAGTTGCTATTTGATTCTCTAAGACTTGATGCAACAACAAAGCCACCAACAACTTCAGATTCAGGCAATTTAGGAGATATTGGACTTATGTCCTGGCCAACTGATATTCCATCCAAAGCTGAAACAGTTTGCAAGTCTTCTTGATTTGGAACAGTGTTGGTGGCACTATTTCCATTGGATGTGTAACTGTCTACTAAGTAGGTTCCATTATCATTATCAAGTTTGTTATCAGTAGAAGTGTCATTAAATTCTGAAGGTGACGAAAGATCCTTATGTATACCTGTCTCACTTTCATTTTCCTCAACTTTATCACTCTCATTATCAGAGGCCAATGAGACTTCCTGTTGAGTTGTTAAGGGCTGCAACTGCTGTTTTGGCCCTGTGGTCAACAAATGGTATGAACATCATCACTACTGCTTGAAAGATGGTTGCCAATTTCATCAAAATTAAGTCTAATGAACACAGAAAGGAGAAAAGTAACAGCATAAAAAACAGATAGAAGATCATGACAAAACAGAACATGGTGCAATTGAGAGAGACTACTTACTGGAAGTGCTTCGGTTACTTAGGGACATAGCTGCAAAGGAAAGCCCTGCTACCAGAACAAGTCCAGCTGATCCAGCTCCCATAATTCCTGAAAGCAAACTACTTACAAATTGTTATTAGTCCATAAAATGGAAACCAATGATTTTAATTTAAACCCATTTAAGCATGATTAGAACACCCCATCCCCCCTCTTTGCCCAAACCTTCTTCACAACCCTGAAAATAGAAGACCAGATTATACAAGTGTCAAATTCTATCCCTAAATATCTTCTGCTGCACATATGCTTCATTTCGATGGAACACCAACGTTGATTGACAGATACTAAATAATAATTTAGTGTAAGAAAAACATAATGCAAAAAACTTAGCAAATTATAGTTGGATAAATATATTAGAGGAATAGTAAATTAATACCTCCAAACCAACCGTTGCTTTTCGAGTCTACGGAATCTTCCAAAGTATCCGAATCGGACCAACCGGAAAAAGTATCCGACCCTGCTGTGGACTCCGATACGATCCACAAAGCACCGTTACGACGGCGTTCCAGTCCCTTCCTCCTGCTTCGTGAAACAGATAGCAGAGGAACAGAAGAACAATCGAGCTTCCCCGTCCGCGCCCGCACGAGAACCACACGTGACTCCTTGCAATTCCTGCAACGCAAAGCCAAGCGGAGTTGCGGAGAGCTCGGCGACCACGTGGCAGTAGTAGAAGCCATAAGAAAGAAAATAAAAACTCCGCCTCGCTTGTAAATGCTTAATTGAATTGAATTGTAAACAAAACCGGGAGAGATGGAGAAGAAGATTGAAGGGTGATTTCTTCTAGGGTTTCCGGTTGGTTTGGTTTGTTCGTTTTTATTACAGAAGAAGAGACAAAGGAAAAGCGTGAGGATTTTTTGTAATCTTTCTTTATCTACAGGATCATTATTTAGCAACGACGATGCTTCACTTTGAGAGTGTCCTCTGTTTTTCTTTTTCCTTTCCCTCTTTTTTTTTTTTATCAATATGTCAAAATTTCTTTACAACGTTTTCAACGAGGGAGGTAGTACAAGCCTAAACGGTAATGTACACAAACCCAAGACAAGCTACCGTAACTCAAGTTCGGGCACCTACCCCACTGTTTTAACCTCCCAAGCCCTTCCCCATTTTAATTCTAATATTTATTTTATTCACGCTGATAATTGTTCAGGACAAAGAGAAGAAATTATTTTTTTAAAAAAAAAATATGATCTTTTTTGTATGTCAAATATTAATATTTCCCCTTGAATGTTATAAATAGAAATACAATTATGTGATTTACTTAAATTCATTCTTCATTTTTCATACTAGCATAGTACTTGGATTAACGAGGCTTCACTATATTGTTGCTTTGTATCAGAAATTTTTTATTTCCACTCAAGTGATAGTATTTGAGTATTTGTATTAGAACCCCCAAAAAGGAAAGCAAATTTGAGAATTGCAAATATGTATATGTGTGTCTCTAGTTCTAGTAGTGCAACTATTTAAAGAGATTCAGATATACCTCCACTTCCTAAAAAGTGAAGTGCAAAAGCAAGAGGAAAATTATACTATCCTACAACCTTACATTTTTCTAGAATAAGTAAATGGTATATTCAAGCACAATATTCAACAGAGAAACAACCCAAATGAATACTCTTTCTCAGAGAAGGGGCTGTAGGGCTGCACCGCTGCAGATGAAGTGCAGCCTCACCAACCTTGCCTTCCATCCTCTATAAGCCCCCAAAAAAGCCGTGGTTCAATAGCAGAACCAGTTGAAGGGCGGAGAACATGTGAACCACATTTCCAGATTTCATTGTGCAATTTAAAGTAAATAAAATTGGGAATACAGATAATCGCGTATTTTGTAGTAATCCTCACACAAGGGGCCTTCAATAATAATTTGCTGAGTACCAGAACCGCCACCCTACAAAAACAACAAGGAGATTAAAGAACATAATCATCCACAGAACATTGCTGAAACAAAATTAAGCAGGATGACAGTCTTCTCAGCTTGCTGGGACAGCAAACATAAAATGGCAAATTGCTCACCTTCTGGCTTGCAAACCCAACCTTGCGCAATGTCACATATTCACCACATCGCAATGCCCCACCAGCAAATTCTACCTGTACAGAAACACCTTTGCATATCAAAGGGGGGGCTAAATTTTTCAAGATTCTGGGCTCTAAAAGAAGTTTATGATCAAGCATCTACTTCTTGTGAGATATTTAAACATGTATGAACAAAAACTACCTTGACACCCTTACTAGCAAGAAACTGCTTGAAATCTGCCAGTTTTAGATCACCTACGACAACAGATTTATGTGGTGGGGCTGGGGTCGAGATGGGTAGTAGAGAGAGCATTTCATTTTCTGTCTTCCCTACTTCAGCATCCACCCAGGCTATTTCATAATCTCCTAACTAAAATTCTAGTTATGTTAGACAAAGAGACAGCAATTGAATATAACTCAAACATGATCATCAACATCGTAAGATAAATTAAATTGGTTACCTTTTTAAATAACACATTACTCATCAGCTTCTCAGATAATTGTACCTATGTTAGACAAAATGTCAGAAAATGAATTCTGATTTCTCAAATGATTGGATCAACTTAAGCAAATACATATTCTTGACTTATACCTTATAAGCACACAAATCAGATGTAACGTCAATTTTTTCCTCAATTTGAGGAGCATAAACATGAGGACAGACATGTTTTAAGCAGTGTTGCTTCAAATGCTCGGTTGCCTCAGCTGACCCATGCACCAAGACCTGCAAGTGAAAAAAAAATGCTTTAATACAACAAATTAGGCACCTGCATGATATAGACCCGATCAAAGAATTAAAAAAAATCTAAATGGAAAAATGCGGTAGCATTTGAATATGGCATAAACAACAAAGAGGAGTATCTAAGTTGATTGGGCTATAATAGATTTAGGGAGAAACAGTCTCCGATTATCCTACAGCTATCAATGCCTTTAATCTACCTGTTACATGCTCCACCTCATAGGATTAACCACCTGGGAAAAGCTGGCACATCCACATATAATAGCATACTAATGACATAAATGCATGGCAACTAATGGCATGCCATGCAAGGAAAATGACTGCTTGCTCAAATAACATGAGCAACATTTACATCGACAGCCCATAAAGATGATAAGGCGAATATGTAACTAGGAATTTTATATAGTTGCCTAGAACAAGAAATATGCTTACAAGCTTCAATGGAGCCACATGTGCAAGGATTGATTTGACAGATCGACCATCAGAACGCCCCTCATAATCCACGTAAATCAGTGAAGACTTCACTTGCACCTGACCATCATTATAGAACACGGTTCCGTAAATGGCAAAACTCATTATTGCAGCTTGACCGGTTTGATGGTGTCAAAACAATGAAACTATGAAACACAATTTAGAAATGGCTGAAATTTTCATGGACAAACACATAAACAAATTCAAGTTCAGTAACAAAACTACAAAAGAAACAGAAACAATTTAAAGCAATAGATTTCAATATTTCATGTTGATGTAAGTACAACATATCAATTGAAACTAAAACGACTTCTTAAAAGGACATGTATCCCTGAAAAAAATAATGAGAATAATAATTACAAATGGAAAAGATGTAGGAAGATAAAATACAAAACTCAAATCCTAACATTAAAGTTTGAAGGCATCCATGGAATCCTGAAAGGACCATAGGTGATAAAACGAAAAGATGAATGCTTCTATGATCCTAGCATATCCATTTTCCTGGCTTCAAAATCCTATATAGTGAAAGTAAATGAAACTTATTCAAAAGATAACATGGATGCTTCCATTTTGTCAAAAAAAAAAAAAAAACCAACAGGATCATCAGTAAGACATAAAATGCCGGTAACTTCATGATAAGAAGTCTAAGCAAACTGATTACACTACAACTTCAGCAATTCAACTTACAGTCAACTCATTAGATATGACTTTTGAAGGTGTTGTGTCAAGTATCAAACTAGCAGAGGCTTCATCAACCTTTCCATCCATATCCCCACCAACCTGAGATAATAGCAGTTTCATTATTCAAACTGACAAGTGTATTCTAAACCCAAAGAGCAGCAGAATAAAAATAGAAAGACATAACAGTCTAAAGCAATCAAGTTCAGATGGCACGAATAATCAGGCACTTACACGCATAGCTGCTTGATCCATATCTTCATCCTTAATTACATAATCATCAGGATTTATGACCTCCCCAAAATCATCCCAATCAGAAGCATTTTCATAGAGGGGAAACATTGGGGCAACACTAGTGGAGGGGGGCACAAATCCATCAATCAGAATATCACGGTATCCACTTCCATGTTGACCTAACCCCGCAAAGTACAAGCAGATAAAAAGATATCAGCTGAGAACACACATAAGGATGCAAAGATACATCAAACAGCTGAAAATACATCATGAATATACCTCACAAAACATACTTCATCGGGGAGGGGAGAAACTATTCGATGAGATAAATTGATGAAAGAAACCATAGTTTATCATTATCTGAAATCTTATCGGAATTGGTTTCCTTTCTAAATAAATTTAAACCATCAAGAATCAATGAAAATAAAATGAAAATAAACAAACTCAACCAAAAGTACTTTTATCAAAAAATAAACATATAAGGGTAGGGGAAGAGGGGAACTCCTGCATCCATTGACAAGGGGATTATAATTGAAATAAGCTTTTAATGACAAAGATCACATCACCACATAACCATTTAAGGAGACATGTTTATTACTTGATGCTACATCAGGAATGCACGTGGATAATGGAGGTACAAGGGTATTATTCATGTAAATGCATTTTAGCAATTTCGGAGATCTTCTGACCTTTCAGAATCAATTAATATATGTCAATAATATCTCTTTGTTGTGAAACCCCAAAGCACACCACTCCCTTCTTCTAATTTGAAGAGGAGATAATCATTCAAATGCACATGAAAATATGTAATACAAAAGCATTAACTAAATAGGTTAAACACTCAAAAACACCCAACAAGTATAGCAGTCCTCAGAAGCAAATTACATTGATCAGCTTTTAGGAAATGGAAGAACAATACCATCCAGTGAAGAGTGCTTGCTATTAGTGTCAATGACCATTGGATCACTTGAATCGATATCAGGCACGATAGAAGCTTTAGATTCCTCCTCTTTGATGAGACTAGCTTTTAGAGCTTCTTCTTTTTTCAACCGGTTTTGCTCTTCTTCATGAGCAATCAACTCCTCCCCAACCAAAGGAACCCTCCTAGACATCATGACTTTAACAGCTTTTGGAGGTGGATCTGCCTGGAGCATGCGAGCTAACGTGCCAAACTACGTATACAGGTCAAAGTATAAGCAAGTAGATATAATGAGGCAGAAGAGATAATTTTGTCATTCAACAATACAAAATAGTAATATACATGCTAGGTAAACAATTTCTACAAATTATAAACCTATGAAAAATTTAAAAAAAAAAAATGAACTAGACAATCATGAAGCATACAAAATAATTCCTGACAACAAATTAACAATGACAAAGAGCTTAAAACCTTCAGCCACTGAGCAAATAAACCTCTATTGGTCATGAATTAGATACTTATTAACATCTAATCAAACTCTGCATGAATTGGACTTCGAAAAGTTAAGAAAACTGATCAATTTAAAGTCTACATCCTAAAGAAGTCACCTGGCCCCTTTCAGTAAATAGCACAAGATTCTTGACATCGGCTGCCCATTCAACAAAAATATCATGAGAAAAACCTGCTTCCAAGCTGGCCATGGATGCTAGTACAACCTAAAATACAAATATAAGCCAACAGTTGAATATATTAGGCTGAGAAAGGTCATGTTAATCTGCTCTTCAAAACTGGTATAATCAACTAACCTTAGGAACATCTGGCGCTTTATCAAGTTCATTCTTGCTGATTAAGAGTGTGACATGCCTGCAATGTTGGCATAAATACATTCTCATCTAAACGAATAAGGATAAACATAATTTACACCCATTCATAATAGTTACATTTTGTTAAGCACATATAAATGTTACAAACTAAGGAACACATATAGGTAGTGCAAATTGATAATAACAGAATACTAGCAAGTATCAGTAACTTGAATAAAAAGAGACTCCTTACTTCAGAAGAAAAGCATTGTCACGTGAAGTTTCAAAGGATTTAGCTATAGCATCACTCATCCACTCAAGAAAACTCTTGGCATAATCAATTGTGCTCGATGAAACATATGTCAGATAGAAGATGGGGTAGTTCAAAGACTTCATTGCCCAGTGCTGTTTACATCAAGATTCAGACTTTGCAATCAGTGATTTGGCTAAGCGAAAGAATAATAAAAATGATCCACCTTGTCATTTCTCAAGTATCCCTCCTAACCTCTTCTAAAACCAAGAGAAGTTCCAACACACGACCAGCAGTATCGACAGGTAGTAACACATTTCCACCAGCTTCTAGAGTCCTCGAGATAGTATCTGCAGAAATATCTCAATTTAGTTTGGTGTATGACCAGTGTGCAGGCATGAAGTCAGCAGAAAAGATCATAAGATGGACGAACAAATTTGGATTATATTATGATGCAATAATTTTCATCCTCAACAAACAAATTACCTACAAAATCTCTGTCCCTTTCTCTTTGCTGTTTAGGAGGTTGATTGTTCAAAGCGTTGTAGGCATCAGTTATCAGAACAGCAGGCCGAACAAAAGATTCTAGAACAGTTCCATTCAAATGCCTGATAAACCCCAATCATCTGAGTATATAATGATAAAGTTATGCATAAAATAGAACTGCAATTTGAGATCAAATAAAAGGTAAGAATATATACTTTTCTTTGCGGCGGTTAAAGTCTACAGCATATATGACATCTTCTCCATCCTTCGTTATCTTCCAAACGGTACCACCCAATAGATGTCCAGCAACATGAGGAGCAATCACAATTCCCTCTCCTTTTCCTATGAAGATTATGATGGAAAGAAAAACAATACATTAAGCAAGTAAAATTTAATCAGAGGGAACTAAGGGGTTGGGCAGTGACATCATCCAAACAGACTGTGTCCACTCCACCCACGATATAGTACTAAGTCATGCAACATTAATTCCTTTGAGCTTTTACTGATGAATGAACATCAAACTCAAGATTACTCTGGTTCCAAAAAAGATAATGTTGAAATTGAGATGATTACTAGCAAAAGGTTTACCAGATAAATGATAATTCTGGGAGTAGGTTAGCCGAGTCACATTCTGGAAAGCAGAATCAATGTCATCCAGGGTGAACAATTCAAACTCTGATACTTGCTGCGATTGAGAGATAGCAAAACATGTCAATATAAAACTTTTCACTACAAAACATAAACAGTTTTAGTACTATAAAAGAGAAGTTTAACTTCAGGCTTTAGGCATAATCAACATAATCAACAGTTTTAGTACCATACAAGACAAATTCATGGCCACAACATCAACTAACAAAGTGAAAGCCTCCATGTCCAATGACCTATGGCTAAAACATTGTGGAATAGCAATGAAACTCTAACTCAGTAAGCTTAAAAAATAAACACATAAAGAGACAGAGAAAACTTTCACCTTACGTGAGAGATACTGATCATACATAGTGAGAAGGCCTAATCTGTAAACCGGTTCCGTGGAATAAACAGGAGCCGATAGTCCAAATTGTTTCATGGCATACGGGAGAGCACCAAGGTGAAGCGTATCAGGATGCGACAACAACACCGCGTCTATTGTTGAAGCTACCCTGCACCATCCACAGTCAACTTTTTTTTCCTCCAGAGAGTGATTGATTAATAGGCATTGGTGAAAGTGGAAGAAGAAGAAAAAGAACCTGGAGAGGGGTTGAAGAAGGGAGGGGTCAAAGAGGTCATTCCAGCCACAATCGATTAAGAAGTTGAAGCCGTCAATTGAGACTAAGTAGGACAGAGGATTCTCATTGTACACTCCACATAGTGGGGTTACATGAACTGACGTCCCCATTCTCCACTTGGTTTGAAACCAAAGATTCACAGGTTTCCGACAGGGTGTTACCGTTATAGGGATGGATTGAAGTCTGAAAGAGAAAAAAGACTGCCTAAACCATGTCGCTTAAATATTTGAAATGATGAATGCCTATTCCCTAAAAGATTGGGAAAGAGTAAAATACGAAATTTTAAAAAAAAGGTAATTTAAAAAGATATGCTGTTAGCATAAACAAAAAAAACCTACTTTTATCATTATAATAAAAATAAAGAAAATGAAAATTATATTATTTTATCAATTATAATACCCTTTTTAACTTCAGATACAATGTTAAACTGATTGACAATCTTGTACCTATGCAAAACTTGACTACCACCTCTCTCATTTTCTCTTCTCTAAATCTTTCTAATTGGGTTTTTTTTTTTGTAAATAAAATGAAAAATGATTCTCACTTTTCTGTCTTACCACGTACTAGTAAAAATAATTTTCTTTCCACTTTTCCACCCATCCTCACTTTCCACTTTACCATGCAAAGCCTTGCTCTTCGCCAACCTCTTTTCAAGCAAATTAAATCCAAACTAACGTCAAGAAAATTACAAATGAATCCAAATTTTGAGACCTTTCATAAATAACTTAAAAACTGGTTTCCTTTTCCTAACGAGAAAAAGAAACCTTATTGATCACCAGAGTGAAAAAGCCTCTCAAACTATATAAAGTTCATGGTTAGTCCTTTACAAAATATCTCCTCCATCATTTATCTCTTTTTAATCCATGTAAAGTTTTTATTTGCACTCCTTTTGCTTCAGATCTTTACTCATCACCTGTAGGCAGATCAAACCTTAATTGTACATTTTTTTGTTAGATTATTTATATGGATTTAATTTATTTTACTGTTATTTTTTAATTTATAAGCCCTAGATCATATTTTAGCACTTTTCTGAAGTTATGCTTTGAGAGATATTGTCGTGAACATAATGAAAGTGCAGCATCTTATCTTAACTGTCTCTGTTTGCTGAGATTTTAATTTATACTATGAAATTAATTTGTGGTAATTTTATGTACATTGACAAAAAGAGACATGAAATGAAAGTTTAACTGTTATTTGTTTGGTTTTGTTTTTGACCAGAAATGGAATTCTTAGTTCAAAGTACCTGCGCTAAGCAGTTGGGTTTAGCCCTAGTGGACTTGGGGCTTTGTGTAATTAGAAATATTGGAATTATAATTAACTTTTTTAGCTTTTCACCTTTAAAAATAGGTAATTAGTTAATTTTTTAGTTTTGAAGTTTGGGTTGTTTTTGGCAGAATACTTTTGTTTGGCTGTTGAGATTTATATAAGCAAATCAGAGTAAAAAAAGTGTTGCCAAAAGGATTAAATGGAAATTGGGGATGCTAGAATTGTGCAAACTAGAGAAATGGGTAGCTCATGTTTGATTTTGAAAGATTTTTCAATCTGTTATCTTTGTTCTAGCTCACCTCCGTTCAATATCTATTTCATATATATAAATTAAAAGACCCCATTAGAGATATTTTATTTTGAAAGTGTAACTCAGCAATGAAATTGAAAGGTTTTTAATTGATCTTTCATTTGGTAGTATTTGTAAAACAAGACAAGCATAGTATGCCTAGGGAAAATTCATTTTTAATGATCTAGCTACTGATGGTTTCTCCTATATTTCAATGTGTTTTCATATTTATCGTTTGGCATAATTGTTTTGCAGGTTGCACGGATTTCTCTGCTTAAAGTGTTCAGTAGAGAACCAGCGCTACCCAGAACACTAACCATAAACAATTCCTTTTTTCTCTAGACATTGATTAAATTTATAGGCATTGGTGAACAAGGAAAGAGAAAAAGAACCTGGAGAGGGATTGAAGAAAGGAGAGGACAAAGAGGTCATGCCAGCCACAGTCGATTAATAAGTTGAAGCCGTCGATTGAGAGTTGAGACTAAGTAGGACAGAGGATTCTCGTTGCATACTCCACATAGAGCGGTTACGCGAACTGACGTCCCTACTTCTCCACTCGATTTAGAGGCAAAACCAAAGACTCAGGGGTTTTACCAGTGGAGGGATGGACTAAAGTTGGGAGGAGAAGAAAGATTGCCTAAACGGTGTCGCTTAAACATTTGAAATGAGAGTGCCTGTTTCTCAGGAAGATTTTAAAAGAGTCAAGTGATACGACGTCGTTCAAATAAACAGAAAGAAAAATGAAAAGACCTGAAGGGCTAAAAGCTGAGTTTAATCAATTTAATAAAATATGGGTATTTTATATTAATATATCATACTACATGTGGAAGATGAAACTGTCACACAAGTATGGCCATTTTAACGACCGGTTCGCCTTGAGATAGGAATAGGGATATTGATTAACTATTAATCAAGACATTTTGCTTTCATTCCATTTTCTTAACTGATGCATCATCCATTATGTCCCTTTTAAGTGTTTTTCTTCTTAGTTTGCCCCTAAGCAATTTAAATACACTTAGGAAGCTGGTTTCTGACCCGAGGAGGATTTGCCTCTTGCTTCTGCATATGAGTAGTTGATCGAATATGATTCTCTAACCGAAAAACTAAATAATAATACTATACTTTATCGAGCAAAAATGGCAAACCAGAAAGCATCATAAAGCAAATAGTTGCTCTCCCAATATGCTACAGCTTGGCTCACCAAGTTTGCTTTCTGCCTTCCATTAGGGACATATTTCATAATCAAAGTTGGATTCAACAAAGTAAAACATTGAATTCTTCATATACTATACTTTTCAAAGAAATATACAACCACATGGCTATGCATGCCCTTATGTGGCGTTGGATCATACGAAGAGATGGCTCAGACTTCTATTTGTCGTTCCTTCTCATTGAGGTTTGGCATGGTTCCTTCCCATAATTCAACTAGTTCCTTCCTTAACCAGGAGATGAAAATTACAGGTCCCAATGTCGAAGGTACCTACATGTAAAAGATTGAGAATAAAGTTAAAACGGTTATAGAAGTGCAACAGATCTGCAATGAACCCAAAATGCTATAAAATTCATTAACAGCTTCCCTCATCTTTATTTTGACCAAGTGAACAAGGAGAATATGAACTATCTCAAAGACTGCATCATATTTCCAAAAGGAAATCATGCTAAATATAAGGAGAACAAATAAACTTGAATAAAATTGCCATAACAAAATACCAGATAAAGAAGAGCAGGTTGAGGAGAGTGAGTCAAAATGCCAGCTGCTAGAGCAGTCACTAGTCCAATAGCATACCCAGAAAGCGCATACCATATGTATTTGTGCCCCTTTGAGGAATGTAAATCTAAAAGATTTACTGTTTCCCTACTCTTTCGATGATCAAAACAAAGGACTAATGCTAGAAGCATGGCAGGAATGGCCTACATGATCATAAAAAATTTAATCAAAACCTCTAATAAAAAGAAAAAGATGACATTAGCCAGAGCAGTAAAGTAGAACAGGTAAACAATGCCACCTGTTACTCTCAATAAGTCACATGCACAAGTTCGAGTGCTTGTCTCTACAAACACATGATATGAAAAGAATAATATGATTAGTCTATAAGTACAAAACAATGATATTCCTTGTGCAAGTGTCATTTGCACACCAAAATTGTTTGCGAGGACATGTTTGTTCATTCATCTAATAGCAATCATGTCAAGCAGCAGGGGCAATAAGAATAGACTTTTCAAGCTAGTAACGAAACGGAAGATTTAAGGATACCTTGATAGATACTAATAAATATTGGTCTAGTAAGAAAGCTGAAAAATATTACTTTCTTCATTCTGAGGAGAACGGTTTTCATACCATGTCACCAAGACCAAGCATCATGAAGTCTGCTGTGTTCCCACCAGGTGATGCACCACCCAACAAATTCCTTGGAAAAACAATCTTTACAGGCAACTCTAGCTTCTTTGTAATCAATTGTAAGCCAGGAAGACTCAAACTATTAGCAACTGTGTGAACAGGGTTTGATGCTTGTTGTGTTGCTACCGATACCATGACATTAGCCCCGAAAAATCTTTCAGAGAAGAAAACCCAAAATATGTCATACACGAACAAACATACAAGAAGCATCGCACATATTTTGATGTTTGGAAGGCGCACATGACTAACAAATGCGATACAGATGGAGATACCTAACAAATTGTTCAATATCCAATGCCCTGAAACAAGCCAAGCTGCAACTGTAACAAAGCATGCCAACAGTAATAACCCTTGTATTCTGGTGAATGACTTTGAACAGCACCGAGACACAAATGGGTCAGCCAAACCAAATTGTGATTTCAAATAGGCAACATGCGGGTATAGACAGAAGAAAAGGGATGAAACGGAGGCAACAGCTGTGAATGCAGTCAGGAGTTGTGAGACAGAAGAAAACAGGTAAAACATCAAAAGCAAGCTACAAGAGCTCATTACTGGAATCATTAGTGCTTGGGACCTATCTAAAGTAATTGATGCTTCTGACAAGTCACGATTCCGCTCCATTTCTTTCCCATAATTCAGAGCACGAAATGCAGATCCAAATGTCACAGCCACTGCTGTAACTACGAGAGTAACAGGGGCAGGCTCAAGTAAATATAAAAGCTTCCACAGTGATTCCATAACTAAGCACACAACTCTTGTGGATAAATTATCTCAAATTAATCTTTTATGCACATAAATCAGATACAACACGGGATGAAGTTCCAAACCAAAGTTGCACTATTTCTCTAGTGACCACCTTAAGCAGAGAAATCCATGCAACCTGCAAAACAATTATGTCAAAAAAGAAATATTAGAACATGTAGAAATACAATAGAAACCATCAGTAGCTAGATTAAGGAAAATGAATCGGCCCTAAACATAATATACTTATCATGTTTTCCAGAAAACTACCAAAGCAAAGATCAAATATCCAATTTCATTGCAGAGATACACCTTCAAAATAAAAATTCTTTAATGGGCACTTTTAATTTAAATATATAAAAAAATATCGAACAAAGGTGAGCTAGAAAAAGGATTCCAGATTTGGATATCTTTCAAAATCGTACCATGAGTTACCCATTTCTCTAGTCTGCATAATCCTAGCATCCCCATTTTCCATTTAATCCTTTTGGCAATGTTGTCTTCCTCTGACTTGCATATAAATCTCAACAGCCAAACAGATACAGGAACAAAAATATTCTGCCAAACAACCTAAAATCCAAAACAAAAAATAAACTAAATACCTATCCTAAAGACATAAAGCTATAAAGTTGTTATAATTCCAATATTTTTCTAATTACACAAAGCCCCAAGTCCACATGGCCTAAACGAACTGCTTAGCTCAGTTAGTTTCAATTAAGAATTTCATTTCATTCAAAAACAAAACCAAACAAAAAAGAGTCAAACTTTCATTTCCCGTCTCATTTAATCAATGTACATAAAATTACCTCAAATTTAATTTCACAGTATAAATCAAAATCTCAACAAATAAAGAAAGTTAAGATGAAATGCAAAATTTTCATTAGGCGCACAACAATATCCTGCAAATATAACTACAGAAAAGTACTAAAATTTGATCTGGAACTTAATAATAGTAATAAAATAAATTAAATTCATATACATATTATAACAAAATAACATACAACTAAAATTTGGTCTACATACAGGTGATGAGTGATGATATGAAGCAAAAGGAAAAGTGGAAGTAAATAAATTACAAGGACTAAAAAGGGGAAAGTGATGGAGGAGATATTTTTGAAAAGACTAACCATGGATTTTGTACAGTTTGAGAGATTGATCAATAAGGTTTCCTTTTTACATTGGGCTAAGAAATAGAGATTTTAACTTACTTTATGGAAAGGCCCTGATTTGGATCTTTTTGGTGCTTTTATCAATGTTATTTTGGGATTTAATTTGCTTGAAAAGAGGTAGATAAGAGCTATGCTTGGCGAGGTAAAGTAGACAGTGAGAGGATGAAAGGGGATGGGTGAAAAAGTGGAAAGAAAATTATTTTTACTAGTACTTGGTAAGATAGAAATGTGAGAAGATATAAAATAGACAAATTTATCATTTTTCATCTTTATTTAAAAAATAAACAATTCCAAATTAAAAAAATTAGAGGAAAGGAAATGGGAGAGGAGTGAGTCAAGCGTTACATATTTACAGGATTGTCCATTATTATTACATTTAAAAATTTATCTTAAGTTACAAAGGGTATTACAATGATAACATAATATAATTTTCATCTTCTTTTTATCTTTTAACTCTACCAAATAAAGGTTTTTTCCTCTTATTCCATTTTCACCAATGCCTATTAATCACTCTCTAGAGAAAAAAATTGACTATGGCTGGTTTGCAAGGTAGCTCTGAAGATATATGCAGTGTTGTCGCATCCAAACACACTTCACCTTGGCTCCTGTATGCCATGAAACAATTTGAACCCTCCAGTTCCATTTATTCCATGGAACTAGTTTACAGATTACGTCTTCTCTCTATGTACGATCAATATCTCTCCTGTAAGGTGAAAGATTTATCCATCTCACTACCAAGCTTGCAATCCACTCCTATAGCCATTACCAGTGCACAAGTCATGCAGGCAAGCCCACACAGCTCAGCAAGCCCATAAGCATGTTATGGAAATAAATGAAGCAAAATGAAGTGAAATAAAGAAAAGAAATTAATTCGTAAGATAAACATAGTTGAAAAGACTTGCTGAACTGTGTGAGTTTGCCCACATGACTTGTGCATCGAAAACGGCCACAGGAGTGGGTCGTTACAAGCTTGGTATTAGAGCCTTAGGGTTAAAAGAGTCCTAGGAATTCTCGAGTCTGTCAATAGAATGTCGAGATAATTGTAAGGTCTTATCCATCGTTCTTGATTGTGACATGTATTATGAATACGGGGTTGCACGAACTCCCAAGTCTTAGTAAGTCACCTTTACTAGTAATTTTGATGTGAAATTGAAGGGTGATTGTTAACTTCTAGGTACGAGACACCACCTAGAACAGAAACCACCTCGAGGGAAACTAGAAGGCTTGATGCCCCAAATGACATTGTGACTAGACCACATGTTTCCACTCCTCGAAGTCGTGGGAGAGGTAGGCCTAGAGGTCGAGTTGCCAAGCCGCCCAACAATCAGAGTTCCAGTAAGAGGCAAGCTAGTACCAATTTAGAGGACACTGGAGGCAAACATCCTATGGTACCCAGTGCCACCCTAGTGGAATTGGCGACTAGATTACAAAGGTCGACTTAGGAGCTTGTGGAGTTTATGAGACAAGGGATGCAATACCCCGAAGAGATAATGGGCTTCAGCTCTGAAGATCCGGATTATCAACCCTATGAGGAGATGGATAGGGGGAAAGTTATGGTGACCTTGAGTGATTTTATGAAATTGAGGCCCCCAGCTTTCAATGGTACCAATTCAAGAGAATATTTGCAAGTATTTTTAATTGAGATGGATAAGATTTGCACAGAACTAGGCTGTTCTAGCCATCGGGCAATTGAGCTAAAAGTTTTTAGATTTTTAGATTGACGGAGGTGGTGCAAATTTGGTTTGCTACGCTCAAGCATAGCAGCCCTCCCAATTTTGCTCCACTTAATTGGGAGGAGTTCACACAAGCCTTTATGGATAGATTTTTGCCTAAAAGCATGAGGGATGCTAAGGCACAAAAGTTCAAATCTTTGATGTAGACTCCTAGGATGACTGCGTCAGATTATGATATCCATGTGTTTATTTTTTAAGCTTACTAAGATAGAGTTATATTTCCCTTCAACAAGTTTTAGCAATATTGGAAATGGGAGCTATTACTTGGTATTAATTGATGGCGTGGCCATAGTTGATTACATCTAAAGCTTAAAGTTAAACTTCTCTGTTTATAGTAATAAAATTGCCTATGTTTTGTAGTGAAAAATTTTATGTTGACATGTTTTGCTATCTCAAATGCAACAAGTATTAGAGTTTTTAGAACATGACTCAACTAACTCACTCCCAAAATTATTATTTATCTGGTGAACTTTTTGCGAGCAATCATCTCAATTTCTACATGGCCTATTTTGAGTTCGATTTTGATTCATCAGAAAAAGCTTAAGGGAATTAATGTTGCATGACCTAGTATTATATGTAGGTGGAGTGGACATTGTCTATTTGGATGATGTCACTGCCCGACCCCTTAGATCCCTCAGGTTAAATGTCACCTACTTAATGTATTGTTGTTGTTTCCATTATGATCTTCATAAGAAATGAAGAGGGCACTGTGAATGCTCCTCATCTTGCTGGAAATCTATTGGATGGTACTATTTGGAAGATAACACAAGCTGGAGAAGATGTCATATATGCTGTAGCCTTTAACTGCCACATAAAAAAGCATATATGCTTACCTTTTATCTATCTCAAATTGCAATTCTATTTTATTCATAACTTCATCATTTGCCCCCCCTCCACTGGTGTTGCCCCAATGTTTCCCTTCAATGAAAGTGCTTATGATTCGAATGATTCTGGTGAGGTCATCACTCCTGATGATAATGTAAGTAAGGATGAAGATATGGACCAAGTAGCTACCCATGTAAGTACCTGCTTATTCCTGCCATCTGAACTTGATTACTTTAGACTATTATATCTCTATCTTTATTTTACTATTATTTGGGTTTATAGATACACCTGTCAGTTTGAATAATGAAACTGTTATTTATCTCAAGTTGGTGGGGATATGGATGGAAAAATTGATAAGCCTCTGCTAGTTTGATACTTGATTAATGAGTTGACTATTAAGTTAAATTGCTGAAGTTGTAGTATAAGTTTATTTAGACTTCTCATCATAAAGATACTGACATTGTAGGTCTTGCTGATGATTCTGTTGGTTTTGTTCGATCACATGGAAGCACCCATATTGTCGTTTAAATAAGTTTTATTTACTTTCATTTACTTCCCTAATCAAGTTACTTGTGAAAAGGATTCTTCTGCTAATTTTCTAAAATAAAGAAATCAGGTCTGTGCCTTTCGCTAAGAAAATACCAACTATAAAAGAGGACACAGCTCAATTAAAGTCCAGGCTAAAACAAGCCCTTCTCAAAGGATAATTACAGATAACAACAGACCTAACATGGCAATTGAAAGGTATTGTCACCTTCTTCCTTATGCAGCTTTCCCTTTCTCTTTTTCAATAAAAGATATTACTTATAATCAATTACTATTACTCTACATAAAACTGAATCAGTATAGAATCTACTTACTCTGTTTCAATTAGAGGGATGCAGAGCCAACTCCTTCCCTTTCAATCCTAAAAAGAGGCCAGTATTTGGCTGCTTGGTAGCCCCGCCAGCTTAAGTAACCCCAGATCACATTCAACCTGAAAAAGACAACATTGAAACTGCATTTTAATAATCTTTCAAATCCAGATCACACAATCACTCTGATCGAACTCCTGTTTTAAAAAGGATAGACAAATACAAATGATCTTAACTTAGGACTCAAACCCTTAATTTTTGGTTCTTTCCTTCATAAACCTCTCAAATTTCACAAGATAAATTAGCAACAACAGTTAATCCAAAACAAAACACAAGTGCATACTCAAAATGTCTCAAGACCAAAATCTATAATTATGTAACATGAATTTTTTTTTTTACTTCCAGTGAAATGAAAAATGGTCTTTAAACCTAACGCGTAAACTTTCAAAATGGAATTAAAAAAATCATTAAATATACAGAACAAAATATCAAAATTTAAGCTTATGACAGAAATAAACTATGAACAGCCAAAATCACTATCATCTAAAAAAACCCACCAACCAAAACACAGCAGTTAGTAAACACAACTAAAATCCTCTTCATTTGATGAAACCAGCTAAAGCTACTCAATAGTCGAGCTTAGTCTTTCATTTTACTAAGAACTAAAACAATCTGACAGAAAAGTTTCCGTTTTCGGCTTTGAACTTTGTTCCCCGAGCAATCAAGAACAAGAAGAAGTGAACGGGCTTAGAGAGGAAGGAGAAATACCTGTTGAGACGGAGATCTGAGGCGGAGTAAAAGAAGAAATTGGGAATTTGGGTTTGTGATTCCTTTCAACAGGCAACCAGCGTTATTGACCCGCACCGGCAAGCCGGTTCAGTCCGAAAGCCCAACGTCGCTTTAGCTCTGGCCCATGCAGCCCAAAAGATTTTACCATTCGAGCTCTTGTTAAGTGATTCGACAAAAATATTTTTAATTATTTTTTGAAATTACAACCTTTTATATAATAAAACTTAATCTTAATATATAAAAGATTTCCATTTTTATCTCTCCTTAATCCACCTCACTCTTTCTCTTTTTTTTATAACTTCTTCTATTAGCATCATCTTTTGATGATAATACCTGATTAATAACTCCATCGGTCAAATATGGTTGCAGAGAGCATCAAATCGACATTTTATTACGTTAATCATATCTTCGATAATCAAGTGATAAAAATAAAATAAAAATATTTTAAAATGTTAATTATAAATTATTATTCTATTTGTCCTCAAAGATGATCCTCTGCAAACTTTAAACAATTTTTTAATCAAATAATTATTTTTTTTTCTCAAATTGTAATTTTAGAATTCCCTACTATTTAAAAAATTATGCACCATATCATCTTACAAAAGAAAACCAAAATTCTCTAATTTTTGCCATCAAAATTCTTAATAGTTTTGACATAAAGCTAAAAGGTCTAAAAAGTACTTAAAACTCTGATTTTATTAAATAAAAGAGAGAGAAAACTCTAATTCAAAACTTTAACTTATTTTATAAACAAGATATCATCGACTATATATTCATTGATATCTATACTATTATGTATATGAAGTTATTAAATTTAATGTTAGGAATCAAGTGAAGCTAATTCAATCTAAAAAATTCACTCAAAAATCACTTAAATTATTTTACCTAACTCATATGTATAAAATGTACTAGGTGATTAATCATTATGTATTCGTAGTGGCCTAATTAACAAATGTCAATATGTACTTAGTAAAGTTAGTTAAAATATTATTTTGTAAAACATTTTGTTTAATGTCCTATTCTCATTAAATTAAAGAATACACATTAATTATAAAATTATTTCTATATCACTTTAATAAATGTTATTAAACACTCTTTAATAGTTTTCTTTCATAAATGTCATTTTAATAATTTATTTTTTCTAAAAATCATCTTAACAAAATTTGTTAACATTTTCCCGTATTCATATAGGTCCCTCTCCATGGATTGGCCTCTGATGAGGGATTTTCCTGGTAATAACAAAGTATGACTCAAGTCAGTAATTGTGTTATGTTGACCCGAAGAGACAACATAAGTGTTCATTGCAAATTATCACGTCGAAGAATACGAGAACCACAGAGGCACATTAACTTGGTGAGGCTTGTTGCTGTCCACGTGTAACGCATGTGCTTTGACGTACTCATCGACTTGGCTGACGTCCGAGGAGGCCCAGTTCCATGCAGTGATCAGGCTGGTTCTGGCCGGCCTCTTTACTTGCCCAAACCCATGTTGCAAGGTCTAAATTTGGATATTTACCATATACCCAATAACATCTTCCAAAGGTTTGATGCGTTGGCATTGGGCAATTTGGCTTCTCCCAAACCCAGTACCTGTCGTCGCCTTTACGAACAGTACTTACCATCATTTATGGATTATTTATTTCACATATTTAACTTTGGCAAATTTATAAAATGATTGATACATGTCCTCTTTTTTTTTGCATGAAATGATTATATTAAAATACTGGAAAAAGAAACGGGAATCAAAGTCTTTGGCCTGATGGTCACCTCTCTTCTTTATCGTGCTGGAGTCGTTAGCAATAATTTATTTGCTGAAAGTCTACTTCATCATTTAACTCCGACAATCAATCCATGGTTCAACAGATTCTGATTCCTTGAATTTATTTTCTCGCGATTTTCAATCAAATAATAGAAGAAAGAACAGAAACAACTATAAACAGAGCATACCAGTAATATGTTCATACTATCATGTTCCCATTTCAAAGAGAAACGAAGCTCTGTATGGAATAAACATGAAGCTAATGAGTATAGCTGCAGTAGCGAGCATACTGGTTTTGTTGGCTTGCGCGCCATGGTGCGTATACTCGCAGGAGCGGTTCCTTGTGCGGATGACTCTGGTTCGAAACGCTCCTGCTCTTGGTGCCTGTAAGACTCCACAAAATTTAAAAATCTAAGTCTTTTAGTTTTTTGTTTCACAGTTAACTTTAATCAAATAATAATAGTTGAATATTTAACTTATTAATTAATATATAATTTCACTACTTAAAAAATAAAATTTAAATCTCTATCTCTCAATTTCCAAGAAAAAAAAATTTAATCAAATAGTTTTGTTTTTGTTACTTCTTCCTTGTTACGGAGTTTGCTTAGATGGGAGCCTGCCAGCGTATCATCTACACAGAGGATTCGACAATGGAGCAAACAATTGGATTTTGTACTTTGAGGTAATGTTGCACAATTGTAGGCAACAGCAAACAAAAAGCAGAAAGTACCGTACTCTCCAATGTTAACTCACCACGTCAGCAGTTCAAACTTTGAACTTTACGTAATTTATGTTAATGTCAAATTTGTAATTACTTGGTTCCTAAATGCTAACCAGTTGAGATTAGTAGGTCTAATTTAAAAGTTTTTTGTTCATTTTATGATAATCTCAATTAGGGAGGTGGGTGGTGCGGCGACATAAAACAATGCTTGGGCAGAGCCAAAACGGGCCTCGGATCAACAAATCACATGAACAAGTGGGCAATTTTTTCCGGTATCTTAAGTAACAACGCCTCCCTCAATCCAGGTGCTCGTCTCCCTTCACATAACCATCGAGGTTTTAGCTTCAATAAAACAAAAAGACTGACCAACCAAACTGCAACCATGAACCAGATTTTTACAATTGGAACCGAGTGAGGCTGAGATATTGTGATGGAGCCTCATTTGCAGGAGATGGCAAGTTTGCTAACGGGGTACCTTGACTTTGGCTCCTTTTATTTTACCTTTGCAATTGTTTCTTTAAAGTAGCTGTATGGTCTATGATTAGCAATATCCAAGGTTGCCAGAGAATCCAAATCAAAGCTGTTACAGGGTCATGCAGCATTTTAGCTCGTTGAATTTAAGTAATTCTCATAGGAGAAATAATGTTCATGTTAGAATAGCTTTGCAGAGGAAGAACTTGATCAGTCCTGCTCTTAAACTGATTCTTTCCATGGCATCATTGTAAATGAACGACAGACATCGTTGCTTTACTTCAGAGGGCAAAAAATATGGGAAGCAATCATTCTTGATCTTCTACCCCAAGGCTTGGCAAATGCACATATGGCAAGCTTACACTTTTAATGAACTTATTTGATATCCCTCTCCTTATGAATGAATTTATCAAAGTTCTGAATACTTATCCTGCTTCTCTTTAGGCTTTGCTAGCAGGTTGCTCAGCTGGGGGTCTAGCGACCTTTCTGCATTGTGACAACTTCACCAGGATGTTACCGAATGCTAGTGTGAAATGCTTGAGTGATGCTGGTTTTCTCCTGGACGAGTAAGTTTTCACGGTTCTTAAGTTTGATGGCCTTGCAGTATTGGTCTTTTGCTTTCAGATTTCACATAATTAGCCTTTCATTTCACAGAAGAGATGTAAGTTTGAACCACACCATAAGGTCTATCTTTGAAGATATAGTTTCTCTTCAGGTACAAATTTTAACTTGGAAAGCAGTACTATTTTTTGCCTAAGGAACAGCAATTAAATATTGCGGTCACAAAATAAAACGAATTTTCATTTAAAAAACGCACAAACATATATAGCTTACCATTTTAGACATGTACTGTGTCTTTGATATATACAAGAAGCTTATGACAGAAGAATTTTCTCTGCAATCTGCATATGTATTATCATCCCTTGCTCAATTCACATGTGTAAAGTGTGGATAACAGGGAGTAGAGCAAAATCTTGATCACAAATGCACCAAGTCCATGAACCATCCTAAGCTGGTATGATGTTCTTTGAGTGCTTTCAGATCTTGGCCCATAAATATTTGAATACTTTTGTGCTAACCTGGTTTTTAACTTGTTTCTCTGCAGTGCTTCTTTCCACACTATGCCTTGAAATATATCACAACTCCATTTTTTGTCTTGAACTCTGCTTACGACGTAGTCCAAGTAAAATTTCCTATATCTCCATTAACGCTCAAGGCATTATTTTGGAATTCGAAGTAAAGTTAAAGTTGCAATAATATAATGTGAGTGTAACTTTATATGCTAGATAGTTTCATCGTTTTTTGGTGCCATCTTCTGCTGATGTTGAAGGAAAATGGAAAAACTGCAAGCATGATCCAGCAGCATGCAGTGCGGATCAGATAGCCATATTGCAAGGTTCGTTCTTTATTTTTTCTTCAGTTGCTAGTTTAAGTAATTAATTCTTTTATTACTATTAGTCTATTAGACATCCCATTTCCTATCTACTCAAATAATTTAGATATCTCTGGGGGGTGTTGTTGGGATGGCAGTTTCCTTGGCAATAGAAATAGGCTGTTCCTGTGATTGTTTTTGTCCAAATAAGAGAATCTGATTCCTTAATTGATGTGTTGGTAATGGTAACTACACCTGCTGACTGATTCCGTAATGTTCCTTGGACTTTGCTTTTGGGAAGGTTTCAGGCGTGACATGCTTGAAGCATTGAATTTCTTTCTTAAAGATTCAAAAAGCGGGGGAACTTTCATAAATTCATGCTTTGCCCATTGCCAAAGTGATGCACAAGAATCATGGTTTGCCGTTGATTCTCCAAGAATACGCAATAAGGTAACTATTTGTCTATACCTATCATTCTCTGTCATCTATAAGATCTGGATTTACATGCCGGATTTCTGATTTCTGATGTCACTTGATTCACTAATGCTAATATATATGCTATTGTTTGGTGTGACTATAACAACTTTGAAATTCGAGATTGAATAGTCTTTCTAGATTTTAAATCCTTGTTTTTAACTTAAGATACCTGAGAGTGAATAATGTTGTTATTACTACCTTTTACAGACCATTGCTGAAACAGTTGGTGATTGGTACTTCACCAGAGGAGAAGCAAAGGAGATTGATTGTGAATATCCTTGTGACACAAACTGCCACACCCTAACACCAGTGCATCAGGTATTGCTCTTAGGAATCCGAATAATTGTAATAGTATGTCAAGGAATGGGAGTGCATGTTTGTGACTGAAGTCTGAAGTGCAAACATTGCAGATTTCATAGATGATTCATAAATAAGTCGAAAGAGACAATTACTAGCTTCCCCTGTTCTCAAAGAGTTGAACCTTTTTGGTGGCTTCTTATTGAGAAGGATGCTAAAAGGAAGTATTGGATTAGAATATTTTGGCAGATTTTATTAGACTTGAACAAGTAGTCATACATGCTTTATTACACTACGTCAAAAAGGTCGATATAACATTCATTGATTTACATGCCTCGCAACATTTGATCAGAAGAGACCATAGCATAGTATAACAGCTTATGCTAAATGTAATTTGTTTGCTGAGCCAAAAAAAAAAAATTGCCTTACAGGTTCCGGATTGTGCAAAATGTGGTTCAGTTGGCAACAAAACCTTGACTTCCAAAGCTGGCTCCCATGACAGGATTTGGAGCAAATACTCACCGATCTTAGTGGTTTTGCTGTTACCATGATGCCTTTGATTTTATATTGTTATTCCTTGACCCTCTTACAGGAATAGAAAAGTTGATTCAATAAGTGATTTTAGTATCTGGCATTTTTATGGAGAATAAGTTCATTGTTATGTAACTACTTTTCACAAAAAAAAAGTTCATTGTTATGTAACCAAAAGTGAACAGAGAAGAATCAAAATATCTTTTCCTATCTTAACCAACCCATCCTTTCACAATTGTCTTGGAGCAATCATTTTGTTTATGATTGATTTCAAGTTTGGTGTAACCTTTCGTCTCTTCCAAGTATCTGTAAGTTGTTGTGAAATTCGAACTGCTACTTTGCCCAAGATTAAAACAAAAATGATGAATCAGAGATTGGGTAGATCATCCTTTGGGTGTTCATCCATTTCATCTTACTGCAAATTACGTGAACTAGTGAATTTGGGTCTTTGCAAGGAAAAAAGGCTAAAAGAAAAAACAAAAGAGAAGCACCAAATTCTCCACTTAGATGTCAAGGACCACAAAACTCAAGCTTTCACGAAAAACTAAAGTTAGAATTGAAAATGATATATCATAATTCATTGCAAGTTTTTCAATATTATCTAACCTGACGATTGGATAAACATTATTAGGCTCAAAATTTTTTGGGGTTGCCTAAGGGAATCAATTATTAGAATATCTTATATATCTTCAACAGCTCCAACTCAATCAAAATTAATGCATGTGGGAGAGGAAACTAGTTATATTTTGCTCCTCCAGAAAACTGATGCATGTGAAGTTCATGCGCCTAAAATGAACCAGATCTGGCAATTAAAACTTGCCCTAATGCTGATCTGTGAGCCTCTCCCTCTAACAATGCATAGAAGGAAAGTGATGCTTCCGTACTGCCGTTTATTGCCTTGTGAACACCATTTTGAACAATATGCACTGAATCGTCAATAAATGAATTTAGATGCCCTTTTGTGACCAATAACAACTACTCTTCCAACCCGGTATCTTAAAATTTCTTTCTCTTAAAGCAAAGTTGACAACTTCAATTTCCTGGCTTCTTACGTTTCTACTCTGCTCATTTATTGAACTGCTTTCATGCATTTATTTTATTTTTTGTTACTATTCTTGTTTTACTCTTTTAATGTCAATAAATCTTGACACGTATCCGAGTTCCAAGTTATTTGTTCGTATTTTCTGCTTGATTCGAATAAGGGCAATTTATAAAGAGCAAAACACTTGCGGATTTGACGTAAAATGTAAATCATGATTGCATGGAGATGCTGAAACTTTAACTCGTTGGTTTCCTGTCAAATAAAAATTTCTAAATTACTAGAAAAGGAGAACTCAAATACTCTGATCTCAATCTTGAAATACCAAATCGTCACGGAAATTGAAGCCATGGTCGTCGTACTATCATCTCAACTACATTGAATGTTCCACAAAACATTTTTAGAGAGTAGAAAGCGCTGGTCGCGGGCGAATTGCTCGAGGATTTTCAATGGAAAGATTAACCATAAGGGAACCCCTGGAATATTAGTAGCCAAGAACCTAACTAACTAAAAGGCAAAAGCTTAGCTTGGACTTTTAACGTTCAAAGAGGAAGAGGATCAATCCATAGCTCAGCAGTGGATCAGGATTGCTCACTAACCAATCCTCATAAGTCAGCAAAGTAGGTCCCATCAACAAACCAAAGCAAACCAAATGTAAGCCCATCAACATTCGCGTATCGACCCTCCTCTCCTCTCTTTCTCTCTCCAAATTCGGCAAGCAACAAAACGAAATTCATTGCCAAATCTACTCTCACTTTTCTCCTTCACTTTTCCCTCTTCTCTTCCTTTCTTTTGTTTTTTTCAGGCCAAGGAAAAAAGAGAATATTGATTGCTTTTTTGTCAATGGAGGGAAAAATAGAAAAAGTATTCGTTTTATGAAAAGAAACGTGATTATGCTGGAGTTTCCTTCCTCCTTACATTTCCGGGCGTATTGCCGCTATTGGTTTGTTTTTTATTTTTTGTCTGATGGAGACATCGGTGTTCTTTTTCTCTGATTTGGCCCAAAAGAATACAGAGCACATTTAATGAACGTGACAATAATTGTAAATACATTTATCTCTACGTACGTGAACGGCCTCTTTTGCTGTCTCGCTATTTATATAATCTCTCCTCTTATCTTACCCCTGCAGGCTCTAGTAACAGATTCCGTTTCTTCGCTTGGGAATTTTTTTTTCTCTCCGTTACCAACAATAAAGTGCGAGAACGAGAATTTTCAGTTTTTTGTCTCTTTATTAGTTCGATGAGAACCACAGCTCTTCGAAAATGAACGTGAAGATGATGATGAATATAGAGACAATACTGGGTTTACTGCTTTTTCTTGCTTTCTCGCCATGGTGCACTTTCTCGCTGGACCAACTCCTGGTTGGTATGACTCTGGTTCGAGACGCCACTGCTTACGGCGCCGGTAAGCTTTTCAATTCTCATTTAAGCTTGCACTTGGAGGGGTTTTTTTTTTTTTTTGAAGTTTTTTTGTTTTGTAATAGTAAATGTTTTGGTTTTTGAATTTTCAATTTTGGCAGTTTGTCTGGATGGAAGTTTGCCCGCGTATCATCTGCACAGAGGATTCGGCGCTGGAGCAAACAACTGGATTTTACAGTTTGAGGTAATTACTGATTTTATTAGAATTTATTTTTTGTTTTTTAAAATAAGATCATAGGACTAATAATATGATTTACCCGTGGTTAACTTAAAATCCAAAAACCAAAATGTTTTGGTGGGAAATGGTGTGATGATTGGATGCATTGGAAATCAAAACGACATCGGTTGACGCTTTTTCTGAAATCTGGGGTATCGTGCATTGCACTTCTTTTTTTTTGAACGTAGACCATGGACCACCTGCGTGAACTGGTGACGTGGTAGTCAATTATAGGTCAAATTTGTCAGTTAAATCATTCCATTGGTCACTTTCGAAACAAGCTAAAAAAGGGCTGCAGCCGGGCTACTACTAGTAATATTTTCACTGCGCTTACGATCTGCATGGTGTAATTCAGAAAGTGTATTAATTGCATGCAATGGGTAAAGTTTTACAAATAAAAAAATGATTACTACTTTGCATGTCAGACTACTCGGCAGTCATATATTATAACTAAAAAAAATGCTGGTCAAATGTTATTATCTTAATTTTAAGTTCTTGATTCTTTACTGCTTAAATTTCATGAACAGCATAATATTCATGTCATAATGGTCATAATTATGAAATTATAACGATAAGATGGGATCTTGTCATTTCACATGCTAACGTGATCGAACCTTTTATGTTCATGATGATTTGAATATTTCATATTTGAAATACTGGAGTAAGTGAAGTCTGCATCTAACAGTAAAATCAAGTCTTTCATGTTGTAATTTCAAGCAATTTCTAGATAAACCAGTGAAAAAAATAAAAGGAAAAGAAAGAAGCATGGTAAAATAGCTGTTTTATGAGTCCCATAAACGAATTAAAGTTACATACAAAAGAACAAAGAGTCTATTCAAACGGCCCAAACGTCGAAACCAAGGAAGATCCTCATTGGCCTTTGTAAATGATCACAAGATGAATGGGATGGTCACTCGGTCAGTGTCGTTATATCAGTGGGGTCCAATATTCTTGAGGTTGTTAATTATGATTCTTAAATTTTCATTCCATTTATATGATCATCTTTTAACAGGGTGGTGGGTGGTGTAATGATATACCATCATGCCTGGAGAGAGCAAATACGCGCCGTGGATCAACTCGTTACATGAACAAGTTCGAAGTCTTCTCTGGCATCTTAAGCAACAACGCCTCCCTCAATCCAGGTTCATTTCACATCTTACTCCATTTTACTGCCCAGATTGGTTAAATCTGGGTCTATTTAAGCTCCAAACATTACATTGCACAGTTACTGTATCGGGGGAAAAATTTTAAACTCTGCTAGATTTAAATTTACAAGAGTTCGGTCAGAGTCCGAAATAAATGTGAAATGGATGGTTTTGGAATATCACCACCCCTAAGCTCGATGGAAATTAACGAGAAAATTATGATTGATTAATGGGATTTTAACTTTATGTTCTTGGTATTCTGTCCTACTCGTGTAGATGTATCAAAGAAAAACAGACAAAAAGTAAAGGCACATTATTAGTTGGTTCTGTTGGTATTCCACGGGTCAATATCCAGGCAGCAAACAACTTCATCATTAATGTCGCCGGACATTATTTTACTCGACCAACCACTATTGTTTAGTACCGGAAATCTAGTAAGTATAAATCCTTTTGTTTGAAAAGGGGCAATCCTGTAGACATGTCCATGTTCCTCGCTATCGTTGTGGTCGCCTTCACGTGGTTAATAGGTCAGGGCTAAGCAGCAGCTGATGCTTCCTGCCTTTTCTAAGTTCTGGATCCCGGCACCATTAGCTTCTCTGCCAGGCTTTATTTCATTCGTTTCTAAGCTTGTTGTCCTGGGGCGTTGCAAATTACATATATAACCTTGCTTGTTTGCCCCATTCGAGGACTATTTCTTGTCCTAACTTGTGACCAAGTATCAATTCGATGGATACAAAGAAGGCAGACTGATTTCTCTTGGTTTGGTTACGTTTTGGAATCTTGCTTCTTTTTCATGATCTTTTTGACATCATACTATCACCTCATATGTTTGTAAAATGTCATTCCAACTGTTAGATTATTGTGAAAAATGGGAAAAGCAGCGGCTGTTCCTTACCTGAAGTAGACATGTCCTTAGCTGGAGTTGGTAAGCAAAGGAGGCAAGTCACATGCATCCCCTTGCTCTTTGTCGCCAGAAAGAATAACTTTCCTAGTTGACTAGTTCCCTTGAAAAGGAATGTAGGGGTTCTACAAGAATAAGCTGCATCAACATAAAACATGATTTGAAGCCAAACCGAATTTCTAAATAGTATTATGAGGTTATAAATTTGTGCACATGTTCACAGGAGGCAAAAATTTATGTGGATTAAATGGTTACTCTCTTTGATAATTTAGAGTCGTGTTTGTGTATCTTTAAAGAACATAATAATGGGGTAAAACCTCTACTATTTAAAGATAGGATTGGAGTAACTATTAAGGGAAGGTGAGATCTTAAGAACTTTCGACTGAACCAAATCTTCCTATTTATGCTTTTGACACCCCGAGAATAAACTTGTAATTAATTAGGGGAATTGCTTTCTACTTTCTTTCTCTAATTTGGACAGTCGAGTTTAGTTTCCTTGATTGATGAAGGGTTAGAGAATTCAATGATGGTCTGAATAAGGAGGTGGAATTGTTACTTGACCACAAAAATTTGTTTTGCAAATTAAGCAATTGTCAACGCCCTGTTCTTTTTCTTATCATAAATATGGTCTGCTCTCTTTTGGGTGAGCATTTTATTTCGAGGATTTTCAAAAATCATGGATTGAAGAATGCTTTTGGTGGGTTGATCGAATGAATCGTTGAAGAAAGAATTTATTTCGTATCACTATGATGAGGAAATATGTATTTAGAGATTCCTTCTCCTTACAAGATAATGTCATTTCTTTTCTTTATCATTGAGTAATCATGAAATTCTCATTACAATCAGATTTTTACAACTGGAACCGTGTGAAGCTGAGATATTGTGATGGAGCCTCATTTTCAGGGGATAGCAAGTTTGACAATGGGGTAACTTCTTATCTTTGCCTTTTGCCATGCAGTGTACTTTCTCTTTTTAATTCATATTTTTCACTATATGCTCTGAAACTCAAAATGCCATTTAAGATGCACTAATGGTGAAGTACTTGTATCAACTATGGCACTGAAAGTTACAATCTGGAAGGACGACTCCTTCACATTAAGGGGGTTGTTATAACTTATAAGTTGTATACTGGGAAAGCCCTTGAACTGGCTCTTTTACTGATTTCTTTCCATGTGTATGCTTCTGAAATGAACAGACGTCGTTGCTTTATTTCAGAGGGCAGAAAATTTGGGAAGCGATTATCCGTGACCTTTTACCTAAAGGGTTGGCAAGTGCACACAAGGTATGTTCACATTTAGTAGAAATTTGCATGTTTCACTTCCTATGATAAGTTGTGTATTTTGTCATCGTCATATACACGTGTGTATTACTTGTAAGAAGACGATCTTCTCATTGAGATGTGATCTGCATTCGTCAGTTGTAATATTTTTTTGTGAACTTGAGCAATACTTCATATCATTGGCTCTTTCTTTGCTCTAGGCATTGCTTTCAGGTTGCTCCGCCGGGGGTCTAGCAACCTTTCTGCACTGTGACAACTTCACAAAGATTTTACCAAGCAATGCCAGTGTGAAATGTTTAAGTGATGCTGGATTTTTTCTGGATGAGTAAGTTTCATTGTCCTCTGCAGTCACAATCTTCTATTTTCTAATGTTGCATCCTTAATTTCATGTTCATTTTGCAGACAAGACATAAGTTTGAATTACACTATGAGGTCCTTCTACCATGATCTAGTTGCTCTACAGGTACTTATTTTATCCATGACTTAAATTGTGATTGTCCAATGTACTAAAATGATTTAAACTTTTCGTTATTTCCTTGTATCTTAATCTCTGGCGATTTGTAAACTAGGAAACTGTACATGTAATGCTGTATATTCTGCATTGGACAAACAAGAGAATTTATAAGTACACCTTAAAATTGACATTATTCATTGTATTAAGGTTAATGTATTGCAATAATATCAATTCAATAATCTTCAAATCAAATTGATTAAAAAGGGAGAACGGAAAAAGGGTAACATGCAAGTTGGCAAGAACTATCCCACTCTGCAGCCCCAAATTTCAAATTGTCAATTTGAATTCAATTGCCTCAGCATTGAATGGCTCCACATTTTCTGCATATATAACATTAATTATAAACTTACTGATGCATGATCTAGCTGTAACTTAAGAGAAGTACTTCAGAAATTGTGAATGATTAAAGTGAATATTTATCTAAGAATGTAAAAAGTAGTCATAGTGTTGTTTGAATATAAAGCTTTATTGACATAATGGAAATATAAATGACAGGGGATAGAGGAAAATCTAAATCCAAATTGCACAAGGTCGATCAACAACCCAAAGCTGGTATGATCTCTGCCATGCTCCTATCGACACAAGAATGACTTCCTTTTGCTTACAGCTATGGTATGTAACTTCTTTTTCTGCAGTGTTTCTTTCCCCAGTATGCTTTGAAATATATCACAACGCCGTATTTTATCTTGAACTCAGCTTATGATGTATTCCAGGTAGATTTCCTTGCTTTAATTGTTTATAAATTCAATATTATTCACTCTGTAGTTCAAGTGAATGTTCTGGCATAGTATGACCATAATTTTAATTATTTTGTTTCTCCCCAACAGTTTCATCATAGTCTGGTTCCACCTTCTTCTGATTTGCATGGACGATGGAATCGTTGCAAGCTTAATCCAGCAGCATGCAATGCAAGTCAGATCAATGTATTGCAAGGTTGGTCTTTGGTGTCCTCATATCTGTTGATTAATTGGTTCTTTTTTAGATTATTTTCGTGTGGTCAGTTCCCATATATGCTAAAGATTTTTTTGTAACGAATGCGTTTTGGGTGGAGGAATGTGAGCTATGATTTCTCATAATCAATTGATGTTAGAATCCAAATCTTTTTCCAGGTTTGAGACAGGATATGCTTACAGCTCTTTACTCATTCTACAAAAGTTCAAGTAGAGGGGGGATGTTTATAAATTCATGCTTTGCTCATTGCCAAAGTGAGTCACAGGACACATGGTTTGCTGTTGATTCTCCAAGAATACACAATAAGGTAACTACCTAAGCCAGTCCTCTCAGCCACTCTAAAATCCAGGTTTTTGAGCTGGCTTTCATTCCTATGCTGCTTTAGTAACAAGAACCCTTTTCTGGGTGAACACCAGAACTAACTATTGAACTTGCTAGTAAATCATACTTTATTCTAATTACAGTCTGAGCATTGCATAAGTTCTGAGGTGTAAAATATGAACTAGTTTTGGTAAAAGAGATGTTTAGAAACTTGAAACTTGATTATATATATATTTACCTCTTTTCGTTCATGAGAAAACTTGAAAATGTTATTGCAGACTATTGCAGAAGCAGTTGGTGATTGGTACTTCAGCAGAAGAGTAACCAAAGAGATTGACTGCCCGTATCCTTGTGATACCACTTGCCACAACCTGATACCGTCACCTCAGGTAACGTCCTTAATTATGGCTGCCAGTATTTCTGCCAGAGCCATTTGATTTAAAAACATTCTTGTTGCTATTGAAATGTGTTTGCAGGGTTTAAGATAGATGATTCTTTTGTTATGACAAATTCTTCTTGTTCGCCAACACGTTGAAGCTGGTCTGCAGGTAACCTTTTATCAAGAGAGGGGATGCTGAAAGGAAGTATAGATGGTCATAGGTTAAAGATATTTTAAAACGCCATTACACCAGAATCAATTATAGATGATTTTTCCCGATTCATCAAAGGAATCAATAAGAAGTCCAATTGATTTCCATTCATTTTTTAACAAATTTATAGAGAAAATATTAGCCTTTTGATCAGGATGCTGAGAAGAAGTAGCAGGATAGCAGAACCGTTGAAAGCTCCACGTTTTTTGGAAAGTTTTGAATAGAGGTCGTAATTTGTAAATCAAATACTGTATTCACAATAAATATATATATATATATATATATTTGCATTATCCTTTGTCTAAAACTAAATAGATGTTACAGCAGGACACATTTCATTTATTACAATTTTAGTTTTTTTTTTTAAATTTTAAAATATAAATAGTTTTGTATATTTTAGGACAATTTTATTTTTAGAATAAAATCAATTTTCTATCTTTTTTTTTTACTCCTCTCTTCTTCACCCTGTTATTCCAGTGTCAACCAAGGGCATGGGGCAACGGGATAGGACCTAATCTAGCGCTCCCAACTTCGCGGTGGAGTTTGGAGCTAGGTTAGCTCCGGCCTCCGCCAGTCTAGTGAGGGGGCCAGATCGGGTCCTACGATCTCTTTGTCTTTCTCTCCACCGCATCCTCGGCTTTCCCTACCTTATCTCCTTGCCAGGTCAGTTCCGACCAAAGGACTGGTCCAACGCCGTCGGCCTGAAACCCCCCTCTCTCCCCGGTTCTCTCTATATCCTTAAAAAAATTTGAAACACCACAAATGTCCGCCAAAATGGACAGGAGAAAACCTCAACGTACGACGCCCTTTAATTTTAAAAAATCCATTAGGATCAATCCAGGAAATGATCATAATGTTCTTGATAAATTTAAAAACACACTCCGTATTTTTTTTGACGTGTCAGAGCCAGCATGTAGCTCATTTTATATTCTTAATATATATATATATATATATACATGAAACAAGACAGGAGGACATATTCGTTGTATTACATATCGGTAAGATTTCTGAACTGTCTTGGTCAGTTAAAAACTTAAAATAATTGGGAATATTAAGCTTTTAAACAACTCCTAAATGGAGATTCCACGCAATAGCAAAGCTAACACAGGTAATGCCGTATTGGAAACTCACACCTTCACCTTAACAAAGGTGGCGAAATTTTCCTTCAAGCCCAGAATCCAAATGGGCCCATGCGCCATCTTCTCTGCCCGGAATAGATTCAATTTTATGATGTTTCTGATGGAAGATTTGCTGTGTTCAAACTGGTTTCAATCTGGTAGTTATTTATCCTGTTTTTTTTTTTTTTTCAATAATATGGAAGGGAGAAGCATTGAGTTTGGAACATTTTCTTTCAACGACAGGAAGTTTAAGTCAAAAACAGCCAGCTGAATATGACTGGATGCCTCACCCTGTCTCGGTTCTTTATGGTCTTTTTTCCTTAATAAATTTCACTGTCTTTTTCTTCAAATTAATTTCTCATTTACGCGTGAAATGACTGCTAAAAATTTTTAAATTTATGCAAATGATCTACCTGTAATCATTTCGATTGATACCGAACAATGATTACTCCAAAAGGTACGGAAAAAATTGCTTTAACAAGATGAAATTTAACGCTCACTTGAAAAAGGAACTCATAAGGAACCATAAAAATATCCATTTCGATATGCACTGGAGTTAGATGTCATTCCGTTACAACATAAGGATAAAACCGGAAATTTAAATACGGCCGAGGCCCCGCGCCACCCAAACCACATCCAATCAAAACCCACCCACAAACTACGCTCTCCGCATAAACAGGTGGCGCTGTTCCATGTAATGGATTTCCTTCACCGCCTCAGCTAATAGAATTCCCAAAACACCCCTGAATTAACCCCCATCCCCAGTAAAAATTGAAAAGGAGCATGCAAAACCCGTTATTTAAAGGGCTGACCTGGGCAGATCCCTCACTGACAGTAGTATCTCCGCCACTTTACACTCTACCTTCTCTGCTAATCATTGGACCCAAAAGAAAGCTCAAGAAGAATAATTTTAGGAAAAGAAGCAAAAAGGAGTGGAGTCATCATCGAAGCGGAAGAGGAACTCGCAGTGGTACATATAGGGCGATGCCTTGCTCTTTAATAGAGACTAGCAATATTTCTTGTGGTGGTGGTGGCGGAGGTGAACAGAATGACCGTCTTCGTAATTTCAAACTGAACGAGTCCACCTTCCTAGCATCTTTGATGCCGAAGAAGGAGATTGCTGCCGATCGCTTCGTTGAAGCTCATCCTCACTACGACGGCCGTGGCGCCCTCATCGCAATCTTTGGTACCACTTTTGACTTTTTATTGATTAAAAAAGAAAAAACTCTCTGGAAATGAAAAGAAAAGGAGACAAGATTTTGATTCTTGATTTTTTTTTGGTCATTCGATTAAAATTCCTGTTTTTTCAGATTCTGGTGTTGACCCGGCTGCTGCTGGCTTGCAGCTGACTTCAGATGGAAAGCCAAAGATCTTAGATGTTATTGACTGGTACTGACTACTTCGCTTGTTGTACTATCTGCCTGCTATATCGGTTCTTTTCTTTTTTATTATTATTTTTAACTTACTTGAGAGTTTATTTATCTTTTAGCACTGGGAGTGGAGATGTTGATACCTCAAAGGTGGTGAAGGCTGATGGAGAAGGTCGAATTCGTGGAGCCTCAGGTTGTATTACTGTGAAATATTTGATTGACCTATGATCATGGAAGTGTGCATGGCATTTCTTGTTTTAAATGGTAGAAACAGTTAAGGTTTTTTCGTGTTCCTTAAGGCTCCTTCAAATTCTAGATTGTAGTCATAGCTAAAACTTTACCTGTAGTGAATGTTGAGTAATAAGTTATTCCTGCATTCTGTCTTTCAACTGATTAACTGAGACCATTTTAATGTAGTTCTTGGACGTTTCCATTCTCTCTATAACTTTTGTTCTGTTTAGAAAATGTGTGAATCTTTAAATGCATAGAGCATTGTAGATTAGCCGCTAGCAGTTATGTGGGAGTATCTAGCTTCTTGATAGTGTTCTGTGTTGTTCTCTTTTTGTATATACCCCATGTAGCTGGATCATCATCATCTATTTTAATTCCGAGTTGACTTCTATTTTTCTAATCCCATGTTCTGAATTTTGTTAAAAAACGGAATGTAGGGGCTTCATTGGTTGTCAATTCTTCATGGAAAAATCCTTCTGGCGAGTGGCATGTGGGCTATAAATTGATTTATGAGCTCTTTACAGACACATTGACTTCACGTCTAAAGGTAAGAATTGTTTTTCTGTTTAATTCATCAGGATTTTTTACTCTTGATATATTAACCCATGATAAGTTAATTGATGACCACTATTTTCTCATCATTGCCTTCATTATTCATGCTGCAGAAAGAAAGAAAGAAAATATGGGATGAAAAAAATCAGGAGGAGATTGCAAAGGCTGTAATGCATCTTGATGAATTTGATCAGGTTGTTGAAAATTGTACTTGGTAACCTCTTGTTATCTGCTTGCTGATTATAGACATAGATTTTCATATGTCAAATCCATTTTTCTTTGAAGTTTTAATGAATATAATAAAATTGCATGCAGATTGTCAAATTATATTTTGTACATATTTTTGCATCCATTGTGTGAAAGTTCAACTAGTTCTTCAATTTTTTTTATGCATCTCTTGTGGTGCAACAGTGCTGTGTAGCTAATGCCTAAATGATATCTTACTCATTTGGCAAGATTAATCTTCTTTCTAATTTTCACATGCTAAGAAGGGTATTATTTGATTGAAATATATTCGGCATGTTGAGATGCATAGACTCTTTCTTTAGCTAGCAACAAAAAGATTACGTAGTTGCTTCATATACTCTTATCATTCTTTTTGGTGATAAGTGGCATTTATTATATGTTTCTTTAATATCCTTTGTTCATCAATTATGCATATGCTTCAAAATATAATGTTGTTTCCTTCCGTGATAAAAATGATTCTCTATGATAAATGGAAAAGTCTGTGCATCTGATGGTTTCTGTGTTGCTGATAGTGTTTTACTGGTTGGCTATCTCATATCCTCATACTTGTGCAGCATGCATTTTTATTACTATTACTCTGTATAATATGTTATTATATCCATGAATATAGAAACATATGAAGGCGGAGGATCCAAAATTGAAAAGGGCTCGTGAAGACCTCCAGAACAGAATTGACATATTACGAAAGCAGGCTGAAGTAAGTGCCAAGGACTTTATTAAATTAATTTTCTTTACCTAAATTTATATTGCTCTGAGCATTTCTTGTATTCATGTGTCAGAGCTATGAGGACAAAGGACCTGTTATAGATGCTGTTGTATGGCTTGATGGAGAAGCATGGAGGGTTGCTCTGGACACTCAGAGTCTTGAGGATGATCCTAATTGTGGGAAACTGGCTGACTTTGTGCCCTTAACTAATTACAGGTTTGCATCTTTGTGATTTATCTTATCACCTGGTTGGATAAATCTTTCTTTGGTCGACGTTTATACAGAGGGAACGAAATAACTTTTCATTGACGGAAGAATGTTAATACTAGTGTAGCACCAAGTAAAACTTGGATTTGAGTGCTTGGCTTGTGGCACTATATTTGTATATTCTGTCATATTGTTATGCATTTTTTTAAAAAATTTAAGTGTCCCTCTTTGATTTTCTGCTCTGGAACATGCTCTGGAGTTTCTAAAATGAACTTAATATAATTGCTAGCAAACTCTGTTGAAACCATCCTTGCAGGATTGAACGGAAATATGGCGTGTTTAGCGAATTAGATGCTTGTACATTTGTTGTTAACGTGTATGATGAGGGAAATATCTTAAGTATTGTTACAGATAGCTCTCCTCATGGTACCCATGTTGCTGGTATTGCTACTGCTTTTCATCCACAGGTACTGCTGTTTAAGCTTAATTAATCTTTTTGCGGCATTTTTCTCTTCACATTTGAATAAAAATCTTCTCACTTGCGTGATGGATAACAGGAGCCCTTGTTAAATGGTGTTGCACCTGGAGCACAGTTAATTTCATGTAAAATTGGAGACTCACGCTTAGGTTCAATGGAGACAGGAACAGGATTGACACGGGCACTGATAGCTGCCGTGGAGGTGGTGAAATTGCATTTTTTTTCTGATGATTTATTTACTTCTGTGTGTTTATGGTCCTTAGGCATTTTCTGTCATATGTAACTGCTTGTTTACTTATAACCTTGTGGGATATATCCAGTCTTTGTTCAATATGAACACATATTCATATATCTTTTTGATGTGTTTATGCATTTAGTGTAGATGGTTACTCATCATAGCATGTTGTCTCAGGTACTGCAAATGATATAGGGGTGTCTCCTTGTGTGACAGTTTGTCATATCATCGATTATAATATGTTGCTTTAAAACCATCTGGCTTTTTGACCTCCTCTTCCT